GACTTTTTCTTGAAAGACGTAGAGTCTAAATCATCAGTTAAAAAATTGTTAGTCCTAGCTGGGTGCCAGTGGCTCACCCTTGTAATTCTAGCTACTCAAGAGGCTGAGATCTGAAGATCATGGTTCAAAGCCAACCTGGGCAGGAACGTCCATGAGACTTTTATCTCCAATTAACCACCAGAAAACTGGAAGTGGCCCTGTGGCTCAAGTGGTAGAATGCTAGCCTTGAGCTGAAGAGTTCAGGGACAGTGCCCAAGCCCAGAGTTCAAGCCCCAAAACCGATGGGCCATTGCAACAATGATGCCCACAAGACAGTATATTGGAAATGAACTTTATAACTTTGGGGGGAGTGGGGGGAGGGCGAGGAGTGAGGAAGGAAAGGGATAGTGGAGAACAAGGGAAGGGGAACAATGCTTGAGAAGAAATGTACTCGTTGTCTTATTCATGTAACTGTAACCCCTCTGTACAGCATCTTTACAATAAAATAAAATAAATTTAAAAAAAATTGTTAGTCCTAGCCAAGCACTGTTGGCTCACAAGTGTAATCCTAGCTATTCAGGAGACCCAGGTAAACAAAGAAAGAAACAAACAAAAGCCAGAAGCGGAGCTTTAGCTCAAGTGGTAGAGCATTATTAGCCTTGAGCAAAAAAGCTCAGGGACAGTACCCAGACCCTGAACATTTCAAGCCTTAAGACTGGCGCACGCATGTACGTGCGCGCACACACACACAAACACAAATTGTTAACTCTTGCCAGGTGCCTGTGGGTTATGCCTATAATCTTAGTTTCTCAGGAAGCTGACATCGGAGGATTGCAATTTGAAGCCAGCCAAGACTGGAAAGCCTGTGAGATTCTTAGCTCCAGTTAACCACCAAAAAATCAGAAGTGGAACCATGACTCAAGTGGTAGAACCATAGCCTTGAGCAAAAAAAAAACCTCAGGGATAGCGCCCAGGCCCTGTGCTTAAGTCCCACACACGTGTGTGTGTGTGTGTGTGTGTGTGTGTGTGCATGTGTGTGTTATTCCATGTTAAATTGAAACCCCTTTATACAACCACTTAAAGATCATTTTAAATATATAAAAAAGACAAAAATGCTCTTGAAAATTTTGTTTAGTGATATGAACACAATCTTCTACAAAAGTTATAATTACAATATATAACTTAATTTGAATTAATCTATATTTTTATAAATATATTCTCAATATTTTTTTCTAAATTTATTGAAAACTTTCAGTATTCATATTAACTGTATTATTTTCTTATTTATTTTAAAGCTAAATTTGAACTTAATTTTTTTCAATCATCTTTAAAGATTATAGTATTTTACTCTTGTAACATAATGTACTTTTTTCCCCCCCAGTTCTGGAGCTTGAACTCAGGGCCAGGATACTATCCCTGAGCTTCTTTTGCTCAAGGCTAGTACTTTACCACTTAAGCCACAGTGTCATATCTGGCTTTTTCTGTTTATGTGGTACTGAGGGCTTCATGCATGCTAGGCAAGCACTCTATCACTAAGCCACATTCTCAACCCATAACATAATGTTTTTTGTTTTTTGCCAGTCCTGGCACCTCAGCTCAGGGCCTGAGCACTGTCCCTGAGCTGCTTTTGCTCAAGGCTAGCACTCTACCACTTGCCACAGTGCCACTTCCAGTATTTTCTGTTTATGTGGTACTGAGAAATCAAACCCAGGGCTTCATGCATGCAAGGCAAGCAATCTACCACTAAGCCACATTCCCAGCCCACATAATGTACATTTATACTTTAGTATCTACTAAAATTGTAAAAGATTTCTACTGCTATGTCTACAATGCACACCAATACTTGTTTTTTTAAGATAATTAATATTCAATCTATGTTGTTGTTGTTATTACTGTATTATGTTTTTGAAACAGAGTCTCAACTCTGTTGATTAGTATTGTCTGTGGAACTCTTCATCCTCCTGCCTCAGATTTAAAAGTGCTGGAATGATTACAAGGCAGTCACTGTCAGCTGTTAAGTTTTTGATGTAAAAATGATAATAACTTTTACAATCACATAATCCTTAATGAATCACAATTACAAAAATACTGGAATTGTTGTTGAAGCAGTCATTTGCTTATGAGGCCAAACTCTAAGCTGATTCTGATTTGAACTGAATACTCAGTTTATGACATAATATTTTATGTGTGGAAGACTTGGTTGAGGAGAGATTAGATTGGTGGAATTTTTATCAGCTAGCTTAAACCTCTCTCTGGCTTTGTAAATTGTGACCAGTTTCAAGAAATTGTTGGTGCTTGCATTGTTTCTAGCAGTCCTACGGTTTCCCATTTTGTCCCCCTTTAGTTTTTCCTTCCTTCAATAAAAGGGACCTCAGAGGTTTTTTTTCTTTTTCACTGTAATCACTGATTTATGTAAAGACTGTACTTTAAATCATATACATTTTAGATTCTTAACTAAAAGAAAACAAAGTACAGGGTCTTTTTTCTGGAATTAAAGTAAGTTATCTTAAGCTTAGTTTTACCAACTTATTTTAGTGATTTAAAATTGTGTTTAATTCTATATTGTTTAAACATGGTAGATAATGGTAGATAATTCTATCAGAAGTGAAGTAGAATTTAAGATGTAAAGTTTAAAGAGTGAAGTACCTACTTAGGGAACAGCATATCAAAAATAAAAGAACTTCCTGTCTCGTAAAAGCTTGCATAATTTTATATTATCTTGAAACCTGATAAAATCTCAGTTACCATTATTATTCAGCTTTTAGTGCCAGTAACAAGAAGAGCCCAGAAAACTCCCATACATTTCCAGGCAGAAGGAAATGTTTGTTGTTGTTGTTTTTTAAAGCAACTCTTAAATATAAGTAGTACTTGTTTGTTTTCAACTTAAAAAAAAAACAAAACAGGAAGTGGCGCTGTGGCTCAAGTGGTAGAGCGCTAGCCTTGAGCTGAAGAGCTGAGGAACAGACAGCACTTATGCTCAGAGTTCAAGCCCCATGACTCACCCCCCCCACACACACACAAACTAGATACATTTAGAAATTCTGTAATTGAAAGTTTTTCTGCTATAGTTATACATGCAGTTATGAGAAGTGTAATAGATTCTGCATACTCTTCACACTGTTTGACAACACTGTAGAACAATTTGACAGTATAATTATCACTTACATAAGAATATTGGCATAAAGTGGGGCAACAATCCCTCACACCTGTAATCCTAGCTACTCAGGAGGCTGATATCTGAGGATCATGATCCAAAGCCAGCCTGGTCAGGAAAGTCTGTGAGACTCTTACACCACTCAGAAAACCAGAAGTGGCTCTGTGGCTCAAGTGGTAGATCGCTAGCCCTCAGTTGTTGAGCTCAAGCCCAGAGTTCAAGCCACATGACCAACCAAAAAAAAAAAAAAAAAGAACATGGGCATAGATAAAATCTAGTCATTTTATCTACATTTTCCCATTTGTACTACTTTGTGTATGGATGTGTATTATCATGTGTAGGTTTATATAGCTATCACCAAAGTATCATAACAAAGATCATGTTTTGGTTTGGTTTGGTTTTTTCCAGTCCTGGGGCTTGAACTCAGGTCTTGGGCACTATCCCTGAGCCGCTTTTGCTCAAGGCTAGCATTCTACCACTTGAGTGACAGCACCACTTCTGGGTTTTTTCTGTTTATGTGGTACTGAGGAATCGAACCCAGGGCTTCATTCATGCTAGGCAAGCGCTCTTCTGCTAAGCCATATTTCCAGCCTGATCATGTTCTTTTACAACAAGATTAACTTCCTTCCTGTGCTTTCCCAGCAGCCACTAATCAATTTTTGCATTTCTAAAATTTTGTCACAGAAGCATATAGTTTTAACTTTTGAGCTTGACTTTTCATTTAGCATATTCCCCTCAGGTTCATCCAAGTTACTTGTCTTAGTAATTTTTTTAATTGTTGAGCAATAGTCCATGATGTACATTTATGCACCATACTTTTATTGTTTACTTGTTAGAGGACATCTGCACTCTTTCCAGTTTGGGGATATTATGAATAAAGCTGCTAAGAATATTCATGTCAAAAAACTTCTATTTCTGTAGGACAAATTCTTAACAGTTCCCTGAATTTAAATCTTAAAAATTTAAGTACCAAAAATATTGATACAAGAGAACGGGAATTGAGGCTCTCTACCATTCTTAGTCACCTTATTTGAAAGCAAAAGCACCCAATCTACTTCCCAGTTAAAGAATTTCAGTTTGTCTACTTTAGAAGACTAATACCAATGATCATTTCACCATGCAGTTTAGAAATTAAAGTGTGAAAATGACAGGGTGTCAGTGATTCACACCTGTAATTCTAACTACTTTTAGAGGGTTCAGTATACTGCGATCTAGGATTGTAATTCAAACTTAAAGCTACCCATGGCAGGAAAAGTCCATGAGACACTTATCTCCCATTAACCAGCAGAAAGCAGGAAATGAAGACTTAAGCCTTGAGTGAAGAAGTTAAGGGACAATGCCCAGGCCCTGCAAACCCTAGTACCAGCATGCACATACACACAAAGAAAAAATTAATACATAAATTACAAGGTAATCACAAAATTTATGTTAGTGCAATATGCCATTAGCTGAGAGATATATCTGATTCAGATTCATTACATTTTTAATCATTATCTTTTAATTTTGCTGATTTTAAAAGTAATTGTGGAAAATAAGAAATAAGTAAGAAAATTAATATTCCAACACCAGAAAGACCAACACCAAGACTTCTTGGTGTATATATGCTACTAAAACAATATATTTTTAAAACATTTATAGTTGTACTTGTAAAAGTAAATTTTGAGCTTTAAGAATGCTTTAAGGTTACTTGGGTGTCTTCATTTGTGGACTGTTCATTTTTCTCTCATTTTCATATTGGTGAGATAGTGTTAAGGTCTATGACGGTTTGCCTAATGCCAAAGAAAATTTCAGGAATAATATCTTTTTTACATTACTTTTAGCTCTTGTTTTATGTCACATTTTAAATCATTTTCTTCGTTCTTTCAAGATATGCTGTGATAGCATTTGGATGTGCCAGCTGTCCAAAATTAACTTGTGGGCGAGAAGGCTGTGGAACAGAGTTCTGCTACCACTGTAAGCAGATTTGGCATCCAAACCAGACCTGTGATGCTGCTCGGCAGGAGAGAGCCCAGAGTTTACGTCTAAGGACTATCCGTGCTTCATCCATTAGCTATAGTCAAGAGTCTGGAGCAGCAGGTATTTCGTTTTCTTTTTTATAATAAGACATCTGACACACACAGAATGCCTAGTAATTTAATGTAAAAAGAAGTGTTCAATTACTCTCATCAGCTTGCTCCCTTTGCTTTTTTTTTTTTTTTTTTCGAGCGTGGGGCTTGAACTCTGGGCTTGGGCACTGTTCCTGCACTCTTCAGCTCAAGGCGAGGGCTCTAACGCTTGAGTCACAGTGCCACTTCCGGTTTTCTAGTGGTTTATTGGAGATAAGAGTCTCACAGACTTTTCTGCCTGGGCTGGCTTTGAACCGCAATCCTCAGATCTCAGCCTCCTGAGTAGCTAGGATTACAGGTGTGAGCCACCAGTGCCTGGCATTCCCTTTGCTTTTTAAGAAGTGTCTTATATTTTAAGTGGTTTTCTGTCGCAGAAGCACTTGTTCTTCCTGTAAGAAAGTGGTGTTAAACTGGTAAGATTTTATTGTCCTAAAAACAAGAAAATGTCATGATTATGTATAAAGATATTCGGAACCAGTTGTTTATAAAGGCATCACAGGCCAACCTTAGCAGATATTTCTAATATTAACTTTGAATCTATCACCTGTAGATTTCTCCTGGTTTTGTAAATAGCACAAATTAATTGTTTTAAAGATTTAAAACAACATTTATTTTTGGAATCATTTTTGTTTCAATATTTTTGGCAATACATTTTTAAAATTTGTTATTGTAAAGGTGACATACAGAAGGAGTTACAGTTACATAAGCCAGATAAAGAGTACATTTCAGCCAGAAGTGGCACTGTGGCTCAAGTGGTAGAGCGCTAGCCTTGAGCTGAAGAGCTGAGGGACAGCGCCCAGGTCCAGAGTTCAGGCCCCACAACTCAAAAAAAAAAAAAAAAGTACATTTCTTTTTATCTCTCTCTTTCTCTTTTTTGCCAGTCGTGGGGCTTGAACTCTGGGCCTGGGCACCATACCTGTGCTTCTTTTGCTCAAGGCTTGCACTCTACCACTTGAGCCATAGCACCACTTTTGGCTTTTTCTGTTTATGTGGTACTGAGGAATCCCAGGGCTTCATGCATGCTAGGCAAACACTCTACCACTAAGCCATGTTCCCAGCCCTACATTTTTTTTGAACAATGTCACTCCTTCCCCTCGCTCTCCAGTTTTTCCCTCCTATCCCCACCCACAAAATAATTCATTTTCAACACTGTCACTGCTGCATTTGTTCATCCTTTGTCCTATCATTTCTGTACCCTCCACTTACTTTCCTAAAGACAGATAACTGAACAAACAAGACAAAAGGTGCAGAAAACAAAAACAGGACAAATCAAAAACAAAAACCTCTTGTTTCTACTTCTGGAATTCATTTTGATACATATTATTTTATATGGTCAGATGCACATGGTTATCCTGCCTATGTGATCCTCTCCTAAGACTATCCTTCTTTGGTCTCTATGTGAATGCCTAGAAACCTGTATATTTATCATGTCCCAGTGTATTTTTTTTCCCTTTTGCCATCCAGTGTGTTTACTTGGAGCTTTATAGGCCCGTTCTAGTTACCACAAATGAGGGAAATCATGCAACCTGTGTTTCTTTGGTTCTGGCTTACTTTACTTAATATTATTTTTTCCAAGCCTTTCCATTTCCTTACATATGATATAATATTCTTTCTGATGGATGCGTAGAATTCCATTGTGTTTTATATACACCACATTTGTTTGATCCATCTGTTCTCTGAGGGGCATTTGGTTGATTACATATCTTGGCTATGGTAAACAATGCTTCAATGAACACAGTTGTGCTGGTAGCTTTAGTGTATCCTTGTTTGTGTTCTGTTGGATAAATACCCAGGAATAAAATTGCTGGGTCAGAGAAATTTCTGTGTTTAGTCTTTTGAGGTGCCTCCATAATGTTTTCCATAGTTACTGAACAGGGTCACACACCCACCAACAATGTAGTAAAGTTCTCTTTGGCCACATCCCTGCCAACATTTGTTATTTTTAATTTTCTTGATAATGGCCATTCTAACTGGGGTGAGGTGGGATCTCAATGTTGCTTTGATTTGCATTTATTTTATAGCCAGAGATGTTGAATATCATGTGTCTATTGGCCATTCTCACTACTTCTTCTGAGAAGTCTCTCTTTAAATCTTTAGCACACTTATTAATTGGGTTGTTGTTTCTTTGAGTTTTTTAACTCTAATATATTTTTGATATGAGGCCCTTGTCTAATGTATAGCTGATAAAAATCTCCCATTCTGTGGATCTTCTATTTTCTGTTTATCTTGCTGTGTTCTTTGCCATGCAGAAACTCTTCAGTTTGATAGAATCCCATTTATCCAGTCTTTGATTTGTTGTGATTCTAGATCTTTACTTAGGAAGTTTCCTCCTGTGCCTCGGAGTCCTACTGCTTTTTCCTACCCCTGCCTCCGTAATATTTTCATGGTATCTGGCCTTATATTGAGGTCTTTGTTTAGAATTGATTCTGATACAGGGTGATATGTAGGGGGTCTAGTTCCAGTTTTCTGCACATGGATAGCCAATTTGCCAGCCCCATGTCTTTCTTTCAACCTGTATTTTTGGCTTATCAAATATTAGGTGGTGGAGATCTGTGGGTTTGGTTCTGGGTCTTATATTCTGTTCCATTGATCCTCAAGCCTATACTTACGTCATTACCAAGTTGTTTTTATTGCTATGTGTTTGTAATAGAGTTTGAAATTTTGTATTGATAATCTTCCAACACTGATCTTCCTGCTAAGGATTGTTTTTGCTCTTTGGGGGTCTTTATTATTCCAAATGAATTCTTGGATTGCTTTCTCTATGAAATACATTTTTTCTTTACTTTTTTTAAAGTACATCTCTCACATTTAATCCAGGAATAAGAATATAAATCAGACTTTAGTTAGACATTAAGAATTTTAAGGTATCTTTGGTCAGGAATTCAATATTCTTTAAATATTCAAAAAATAAATTTTCTATGAACATATCTTTCCTTGCTCATTGAAATTGCAGTGCTTAGAAAATATTTTCCTTGATTTTGACTGGAAAAAAGCTTGGAGATACAGAAATTTGTAATGAAAGTAATACATATTCCACCAGTAATATATTCTGATTTTTATATACTTGATGTGATTAGAGAAAAGGTTTTATTTAAGCTTCCTGGAAATTTTAATGTTTAATATTATATAGAGTATATCTGGATTTTCATTCTTGTTTGCTTACTAATTTGTTTCTGTTTCATAAAGATTTGAGTGAAACTCAAAGTTATTAATAATAATTTGTGGGTATGTGTTCAGAAGCAATTAAGAGAGGAACAGAATATATCTGAACTATTCCCTAAAGAGTCAGCAGTAATCATTAGCTAGTTCACATAGAAGTGATATTCTCTTCTGAACTGGGATATTTATTGACCACAGGACATCAAACATATAGAGTAAAAGAGAATAGACTCTGCAGTTTGACTTTTGGATTTAAATCTGGGATTTTCTGCTTCTTCTAATGTGGCCTAGTCTTATCTTTAAAATATAGATACTAACAAAGCTTATGTCTATTGAGTTCAACTGTTCTTGGCTCACAGTAAGTGCTTCTGCGATATGAGACAGGCAAATGTTAGAACCAGAGCTATCTGCTGGGGATTTGAGCATGTCTCATCATTAAATTAAAAAAAAATAGAGGTGGCTTTTGTTATATTTTAATGAACATTATGAACAAGTATTGGTCTTCCTCAAAGTAGTCATCATTTCAGCTCTGCCACAATGGAATGCTTTACTGGCACAACATTGAAATTCAGTAAATTCAGAGCCAGTTTAATTTGACAGTGTAGTAGGAATGACCAACAGTTCTTTTAGAGTAACAATAAGAGTATCATACCAGGTTGAATCGTGAAAATTGATTTAGAGTGAACTATATAATATTCAGAGAGATTTTTTTCAAAATAGAGTTTGGAATGCAGTTCTGAAGAAGAACTTCCCAACTGATTTGAGCAAAATACTATTGTTAGAATAAATATAGCCTCTTAAGATGATTATTTAATAAAATAAATTTTATTTTGAATTTGTACCATTTAAATTTTTTCCTTATAGTTTTGAAAATTTAATATAGTACATGCATTTTTGCATGTACTATAGAATTTCAAAAATCAAAGTTCAGAGTACATGACCCTGTTGTGTTCACGTTTCTTTTCTTTCTTTTTTTTTTGGGGGGGGGTCTGGTCATGGGGCCTGAACTCTGGGCCTGGGTGCTGTCCCTCAGCTCTTCAATGCAAGGCTAGCGCTCTACCACTTGACCCAAGTGCCACTTCCGGCTTTTTTTTTCTTTTTGCTTATGTGGTTTTGAGGAATCGAACCCAGGGCCTCAGGCATGCAAGGCAAGCGCTCTACCATTGAGCCACCTTCCAAGCCCTCTTTTTTTTTTTTTTGTCAGTTGTGGGACCTGCTGTCCCTCAGCTCTTCAGTTCAAGGCTAGCACTCTACCACTTGAGCCACAGCACCACATCTGGCATTTTCTGCTTATGTGATGCTGAGGAATCAAATCCAGGGCCTCATGCATGCAAGGCAAGCACTCCACCACTGAGCCACCTTCCCAGCCCGTGTGTTTACTTTTTTAATATGTGATCTATAAAAAAAAAAAACTAAAAATTTGAACTTAGCTTCTCAAGAAAAGGGAAAAGGGAAAGAGAACTACTTGCATTATGAGACTGTTTTGAAAGAATTTTTCATTATGTCATGTTCATGCTAAATTCATTTTCTAAAATTTGTCAGTTTGAAGAAAGAGACAGCAGCACACCAAACAGCCTTTCATAGATAAATATGTACACAGAATGTAAAGGTGGTTACAGCTATGAGAAGAGACCTATGAAAAATACATTGCTTATGGTGTTGTTTTTCCAAAGATGGAGGGCCTTTACTCCTACTTCTAATTGAGATGTCAGTACTATTGAGTATAGACTGGTGTGAGGAAGCCTATCAGTTTATACACACTGCTTACACATATAGGATTAGTATTTCTTTTATTTGATATATGAAATGTTATATCAAATTTTAAAATCTTTTTATGCCCTAGTGTTTGCAAAATTTTAATACAGACTATGTTCTTTGTATCATTTAATGACTTACAATTTTATTATCTTTAAGTAGTTGTACAAAAGAGTTGCCATTGAACAAAACAGTTTATGAATACAATATATCTTGATCATTCTTACCTGTCCCTCCTCTATCCACTCCCCCTTATTCATCTTAATTTTGTAGGATATGCGTTGGATTCTTGACTCATTCTCCCCCTCTTCATTTGTCTACCCTTTTCCCCTTGACCCCAACTCTACCCATTTCACCTACACACTTCCTAGTGTTTTATTTTGCTGAACTTTAACTTTGTTTCTCTAAGGAATTTTCCTGTTTGAGTTTTCCCTTGAATCTACCATATTTCAGTTAATACGTTTGTATATACTTACATACCACCCACAGATTATTTACTTACAAGTTTATAAGCCAAATCTAGCTTTTACATGTAAGGGAAAACATTCTTCCTATGTCCCTCTGGGTCTGACTGACTTCACTTAACATAATTTTTTCCAGGTCTTTCCATTTTTTTTACAAATGGAACAATATCATTCTTTCTAATAGATGAGTAATAAAATTCTACTGTGCATATACTACATTTTCTTGATTCATTTGTCCATTGAGGAGCATCTGGACTGATTCCATACCTTGGCTATGGTGAATGGCGCTGCAGTGCTGCAGTAAACATGGATGTGCTAGTGCCTTTACTGTATCTTGGTTTATAATCTTTTGCGTAAAATGTCCAGTAATGGAATTGCTGGATCATAGGGAAGTTCTATGTTTAATTTTTTGAAGAACCTCTACATTTTTTCCCAGAGTGATTAAACAAGTTTACATTCTCACCAACAGTATATTAGTAGGGTTTCCCTTTAGCTACTTTCTTACCAGCCTCTATTATCATTTGTTTACTTAATAATGGCCATTCTAACTGAGGTGAGATTTAAAAATTTTTGTATTCTAGTTATTATCATTTGTCTTGGTCTGGCTGCTAGAGTTAGTAGTTTGCTCAAAATTTATTACATTGTTGAAACATTGTGTTGTTCTAGTTTTTAAGTTAAAATCCATTTTAGCCCTAGAAAAAAAGCACTAAGGAGACCTGAATTCACTGATAAGCACAGGTAAAATTTAGTCATAAAACTTATAGAAGGGAAAATAGGATATAGCTTAGTGCTTAAAATATTTAAAAAAATTGGAACAAATTCATTGTTTAACATTATAAATATCTTTGCTAAACTATGAGTGCACAGTTGGAAACTAAGCTACCCACTAGTAAAATAACTATAGGTTACTATTTAAATGACTGCTAAAGTTCCAAATAGTATGTAACTTACTCTATCATCAGTTCTCAAAGTTATCTATCACTTGATTATAGTTGACACCATAATTACACCATTGTGTAATTTAACCATATAAGGAACATGCACTGACATTTGAATAAATGAGTAGAAAAGACAGACAACAAATGAAAAACAGTCATGAGCTTAACTAACAATGGTTGCTTTTATGCTGAAATTGCTTTCCCTGTTTATAGTAACCCTTCATTAATCTTTTACTTTTTGAACCCTTTATTGTGAGTATTGACTCTGCAGACTGTCATATGAAGTAAAATATAGGGAAAATCTGCTTTCTCAAGGGTATCTGAGTATTATTTTTATAGTACTTATAGTTCATTTATTTAGAAGAGAAAAATGAACAGGGATTTACATATAGAGCCTCAGAGTATACCACTTAAGAGAAAGCAGCTTTGGTATCTGGACTAGACAAACTTAGTGAAGTTTGGAATTTGCCTTGATTCTCTTTTCTTTTTTATTCTTCTGTTACTAGTTTGAAAATGTGTTTGAAAATGTTCACCTCTCTAAGAAAGGAAGAAGAGAAACTTTATATACTATTGTCAGTTAATGAATTATGCATACTACGATTTCTTTTGTCAGTATTACAATTGATAATCTACTGAAAATTATTTTTAGATCAGTTTTATATACTTAGCAGATGTCTGTCTATTCCTGATGTCTCTCTGTTTCTAATAGCTGATGATATAAAGCCATGTCCACGATGTGCTGCTTATATAATAAAGATGAATGATGGGAGCTGTAATCACATGACATGTGCTGTCTGTGGTTGTGAGTTTTGTTGGTTGTGCATGAAAGAAATCTCTGATTTACATTATCTAAGGTAAGCTTATAGCAGGTGTTACTTATAAATGCATATAATTTTATATTGCACTGTAAAAGTACTTTTCAGAAAAAACTAGGCATATTTTTAAGTAGGAATTTAAAAGGATGGATTTTATTTTAGTTTCATAAATTTAAAAGTTGGTATCCAATTATTACATCAGTCATTTTGAATTTATAACTAGTCAAAATAGGAAATGGAAATTCCTATGTTTGTTTTTGTTGAAATAGAATGCTTGTATGTAATGCCCTTTGTATTATACTATGTCTTAATTTTCTCATATATGAATTTCCTTATTGAAGCCATAAACTGAAGTTATATTATAATCACATAATTGCATGCCTAAAACAGAGCTTAAGTGTGCATTTATTAAGTTTTCAGGTTTTGAGCATTATGGAGGAATAGGGATAAATTTTGAATTTCATATAGCAATATCCTATTAATTCAGTTTATAGTTAATATACTGTATGTTATCTTTTAGCTTTAGTGAACTCAAAATGCAAAAAAAAAGTGGGAGGGGAAGAACTAAGTATAAAAAACTGAATAAAGTTTTTTACAAGTTATTTTACATTACAATTTTTCCCTTTAGTCCATCAGGTTGTACTTTTTGGGGAAAGAAACCCTGGAGCCGAAAGAAGAAGATCTTATGGCAGCTGGGAACCCTTGTTGGTGCCCCTGTAGGAATTGCTTTAATAGCTGGCATTGCTATTCCTGCAATGATTATTGGCATTCCTGTGTATGTAGGCCGTAAGGTAAAAATGCATACTTCTTTGCTAGCATGTTAGAAACCTTTTGGTTTGTCTTTTTTATTGATGGGTTTGTTGTTGTTTTGCTTATTTTTAGACAACAGTTTTTTTCATTATAAAAGAACTTTCATAATTTTAGTGTTTATAATCTAATATATACATATTGATTTTATACAAAAGCAATCTGAATATAAAATCTTAAGTCTATTTGCAGTATAAAACCAACTTTGAATGGAAGGTGAATTAAGGAGGATCACAGTTCAAAGCCAGCCCAAACTAATGGTAGACACTACTTCATAAGCAAGTCTGATGTTGTAATGCATGCCTGTAAACCTGGCTATTGGGGAAGTGAAGGTAATATTGCTATCTGAGTCTAGGCCAGGCAAAATATCTCAGGACAAGAAGGTCTATAGGTGTGGCGTAAGTAGTAGAGAGGAAGAGACAAAATAACTTTTTTTTTTTTTTTTGGGTCCGGTTGTGGGGCCTGAACTCTGGGCCTGGGCGCTGTCCCTCAGCTCTTCAGCTCAAGGCTAGCACTCTACCACTTGAGCCACAGCACCACTTCCGGCTTTTTCTTTTTGCTTATGTGGTGCTGAGGAATCGAACCCAGGGCCTTGAGCATGCAAGGCAAGCTCTCTACCACTGAGCCACCTTCCCAGCCCCGAGACAAAATAACTTTTAAGCATCAAGTATTGAAGAGTATACACTTGACATTCTTCATATGGGTATATCACTGTAAAAACAGGTATATGATATTGTTTTAAATTACAGTTAATAACTAATTAATGCACGCCCGGAGACAGAGAATAGTTAGCCAATTCTTTAATTTTTTCCACTTTAGTTCAAAGTCCTGCTATTAGTAAATATGCTTATAGTATATTCTCAGATTGTATCTAGTACTTACTATTAATTATTACTGCTCTGTGATTGCTGAATTATATTTTATTAGTAGAACAAATCTTCTTTTTGAAGAGTCAGTGGCTAGTAAGTGGATACACTCCCTTTGTCAACTACAACAAAAATGACTTGTTAGAACATTTTCGTGTTGAGTCAGAATGTTTCCCTTTCAATTATTTCCTTTTATTCTATGTCTGATTTCTAGGAACAAATTCAGTAAGGTTGATCTTCTATATAATAGATAGTGTTTTTTTAATTGAAGACATTTTATAGTAAAACATTTTAAATTTTTATTTGAATTTATATTATATATTCTATAATTTCTATATAATATTTAAATTTATATTTATAGTAAGGCATATTTTAAAATAACAACATGTATACTAGTTTTTTTTAATTACTTTTAGGGGGTTGGGATACAGCTCAGTGGTAGATCACTTGCAGAGTATGCAGCTCTGGCACTACAAAAAACAGAAAACAAAACAAAATAACTAATTCTGAGACTGATGGTAACAGATATTTGTAAGCTAAATGTTTCAGAAGATGTTTATTTGTTTGCTTATACTGGTTCTAGGGCTTGAACTTAGGGTCTGGGTGTTCAGAAAACCTAAATTAAAAAAAAATATCCAAATAGAGACTGGATATAATTTTAATGTACTTAACCAAAACAGGGTTTTGCTGAAAACTATTTGCATACTTCCAAATAGAAGTAGAAAGGAAATAGAAAAACTATTATACTGCACATTCTTATAAGAAGAGGTTATTTATTGCCCTGTGTTAGGTACCATACAGCTGGAAGTAGAAGAATTTATTTTCCATTCTGTTCTGTGTTTAGGGATCTAAACTAGACAGGAAAACCTATTGTCAATGAATTGCTAAAAAGTTGAGCCTTCATTTATAATAAAAAAGTAGGAAATGTGGCAACAAATAGCAAAACCAAACAATTACATTGAACCAGAAATAGTGTATAATGGGATGGATCACTGTAATTGAACATTGATTTTTAAGGTACAAGCCTCCTTTAGCAAGGTTTTGTGGCTTTTATGTTAGGTCTGCTTTAGTATTATTTTTCATAGGAGTACAAGTAAAAAAGAGCAAGAATTAACTTCATACTGAAGGATATGAAAAGGACTTTGAGAAGATCTTCCATTTCTGCCTCCATGAACTTTATATAGACACTTATTTCCTTGAAATACAGTCAGTAATGGGAAGCAGAATTTTGACTAGGATCAAGAAATGTTCCTTGTCTCATACATGCCTAGCCTAGCATCCACCCCAGCCTGTTTCATCTTTCATACAAGACTAATAGTATTTTATAGCCTTTCAAATAACCACCAATGATCTTTTATTATGCTTTGTCTTAATATTCTTTGCAAGTAAAATATTTTATGCTAGAATATTTTGAGGCTGTTTTGAATATATCTTAAAACAGAGAAAAATGTTCTATATTAGCATTAGCCCTTGAAAACCTTAAGAACAAAGCTACTGCTAAGCCCCAGTGGTTTATGCTTGTAATCTTACCTAGTCAAGAAGCTGAGGTCTGAGGATCTCAGTTCAAAGCAAGGCCACGCAGGAAAGTCCTTAAGGCTATTATCTCCACTAACCACCAAAAAGCCAGGAATGGAGCTGTTATTCAAGTGGTAGAGGGCTAACCTTGAGTGAAAAACTTGAGTTCAGGTCCCAGGACTGACACCAAAAAACAGCTACTGAGCTATTTCCAAGTTATATAAAACCTCATAAGCCAATTTTGTGGTGATATTAAACTCTATTTGTTAATAGCAAAACTGTATAAAGATGTTAAGTACATACGTTTCTTATCTGGTAGTCATTATTTACTCTCTCTCTCTCTCTCTCTCTCTCTCTCTCTCTCTCTTTTTGCTGGCCCTGGGCTTGAACTCAGGGCCTGGGCACTGTCCCTGAATCTCTACTACTTGAGCCAAAGTGCTGCTTCCAACTTTTTCTGGGTTGTTTATTAGAGATAAAAGTCTCATGGACTTTTCAGCCCAGGCTGGCTTTGAATCACAATCCTCAGGTCTGAGCCTCCTGTGTAACTAGGATTACAAGCATGAACCACTGGTTCCCAGCTTACTCTCTACCTCTTGAAGAAAGAATTTTGAATCATCTATGTTTGTTTCTTTGACAAAAATGTTCTTGAGAAAACCCTAGTTGTGTATTTGTTTTATTATGCTACTTTTTTCAATTAACTTTTTTATTGTGAAAATACTGTACAAAGGGGTTACAGTTAAATGAGCAAGGTAATGAGTACATTTCTTATCCAGCATTGTTGCCTCCTCCTTTGTTTTTCCCCTACCATCCTTTCCCTTCCCCTTCCTCAGCTACACCACCCCCACCCCCATTCTCCACTACTTTTTAAGTTCAAATTTTAAAAAATTGGAGCTGGGTGTTGGTGGTTCATCCCTGTAATCCCTACTCAGTAGGCTGAGCTCTGAGAATCATGGTTCGAAGCCAGAGAGGGCAGGAAAGTCCATAAGACTTACCTTCAGTTAACAGCAGAAAAACAGAACTGGCACTGTAACACTAGCCTTGAGCAAAAATCAGAGAATCTTACATAGAAAGAAACTTATAGAATGCTAAAGTTCCTGTTAGTGAAATAACCCACTAACAACTGTGTTGAAATAATATTCTTACTTCTTTTCTAAATACACAGTTGTACTACTCAAAATTATTAAATACTTGTAGAAAAGGGTTTCAATTCAACATATCAGTTTATATATACAATGCATTTTGATCAGTGCCACCCTTCCATCATTTTCCCCCTCCTCCTATTTATCCCAGTCTTACCCATCCCCTCAGGTTTTTTAGTTCCATTTTCACATATACGCAGTGGGTATTATGATTATATTTTCCCACCATTCCTACTTTAACAGAAAACACAAAATCTATTGAATCACTGTCTGTACATAAGCAAATTACTGTTAAAGGGCAAATTACTTGTGAAATAAGGCTTAAGAACAGTAATTTTACTTTGACACTCATTTGAAATTGTAAAATCAGTTTAAGTTCCTTACATATGTAGATCTGTTTAAATATGTAATGTATTTTCTGTTTAATCTTCCACTCTTGATTTATATTTTTAATTCAAGATTCATAATCGATATGAAGGCAAGGATGTTTCAAAGCATAAGCGGAATCTGGCAATAGCAGGTGGTGTGACATTGTCTGTAATTGTGTCTCCAGTAGTAGCTGCAGTGACTGTAGGTAAGAGAATGCTTCAAAATACTGTTTGCCTCAAGTTTTATGGAGTTGTGGAAAATTTTTGTTTTGGGATTTGTTTTGTTTTTTAAGAAGTATTGATAATGAAGGTTACTTTTTAAATTTAAGGATGGTTTAAATTAGGCCAACAGAATGTCTCTTAGTGACTTTATGATTAAAAATATTACAAAGTAAATTCATTACCTGACTTATAATCATAATCCTTTTGTATAACACCATAATCCTTTTGTATAACACCTTTAATAATAACAATGAAATTATATTTTTAAAAAGCGTTACAGATTTAAGAAGCTAACTTCAGGGTATCAACCCCCCCCTACGATTAGATTCTACACCTGACACTTAAAAAGAAAAGGATTTTAGGTGTTATCTTTTTATATTCCCTCTCATATGAATCAGCCAAAAGGCAGGCAGGTTGTGTCCTTTCATTAAAGAGCTTGGTGAATCTACTGTTGGTACATGCTTCACTTTTCTTTTCTACCTTCTCTTAAAAAGATTTCCTTAACCTTATATTTCTAAGATTTTATTTATTTTTAATGCATATTTTTATTGTAAAGATATTGTACAGAGGGGTTACAGTTTCTAAGATATTATGTTTGGGGCTTATATTGACTAGTTTAATTCCTCTTTAGGTATTGGTGTTCCTATAATGTTAGCCTATGTCTATGGCGTAGTTCCGATTTCACTCTGTCGAAGTGGAGGTTGTGGAGTCTCAGCAGGCAATGGAAAAGGAGTCCGGATTGAATTTGATGACGAAAATGATATAAATGTTGGTGGAACTAACACAGCTGTAGGTAAGTCCTTTAAGAAAAGGAAGAAAATGTGCGTATTAATAGTTTGGGGGGGAGGGGACGTATATACCATGCAAATCAGAATTTCTGTTGTCTTCTTTTAAGCCTAGTAGTGTTCATCCAGTATGTCAGTGAAATGAACTGTCAAGGAAGTATGTATGGATGAAAAAGAGTAGAATGATTCTAAGTGAAATCTGAAGCTTTTTATTGTTATATTTTGCTTTAACACATTGAAAATTAAGAAAGGATGTAAGGGAAAATGCAATTAAAAGAACAGGTGTTCAATAAATCCAAAATATGTTTAGCAAAACATTATTTTAAAACTATGAGTTAGCCAGGAGCTGGTGGTTTACACCTATAATCCTAGCTTCTCAGGAGGCTGAGATCTGAGGATTGCAGTTCAAAGCCAGCCCAGGCAGGAAAGTCCATGAGGCTCTTATCTCCAATAAACCACTAGAAAACCAGAAGTGATGCTGTGGCTCAAGTAGTGGAATGCTAGACTTGAACAAAAAGAGCTCAGAGATAGATCCCAGACCCTGAGTTCAAGCCCCAGGACAGAAAAAACAAAACTATGAATTAGGACAATAATTTGCTGAAATTAAGTACAACTTATTAATTAATGTTAGAAATAGCTCAGAATGTTGAGGTGTCACGTAAGAATAAAGACACCAAATCAAAAGGAACTCACCAAGGCAAAGTTAACTTCTGCAGAAGAGTGAGCCATCAGCCAAAAGGCTGGCAAGCAAGCAGGCCTAACACAGCAGGGCCTACCCCTCTGCTCTTATTGACTGAGCTCAGGTTTACAATTTGCAAAAGGATGTGGCTTAATTAACAGCCTAAAACTAAAATTCAAGAAGCTTCTTTTTTTTGGGGGGGGGGTTCCTGTCTTGGGTTTTGAACTCTGGGCTTGGGCGCTGTCTGTCAGCTCTTCAGCTCAAGGCTAGCGCTCTACCACTTGAGTCACAGTGCCACTTCCAGCTTTTTTCTTTTTGCTTATGTGGTGCTGAGGAATCGAACCAGGGCCTCATGCATGCAAGGCAAGCGCTCTACCACTGAGCCACCTTCCCAGCCCTAAAATTCAAGAAGCTTCTAACTGATACCTTAAGTGCTCAGGAAAGGAGTGTATGTAACTACTCACAAGGTTAATAAAAAGGAAGCAAACCACCTTAATAGAAAAGGCACTTTTCTCACATTAAAAAGCTTTTTTTTTTTGGTCAGTTTGGGGCTTGAACTTAGGGACTGGGTGCTGTCCCTGAGCCTCTTAGTGCTCAAAGCACTGTAGTGCTCTACCACTTCAGCCACAGGGCCACTTCCAGTTTTTGAATGGTTTATTGGAAATAAGAATCTCATGGGGACTTTTCTGCACAGGCTGGCACCAAACCACAATCCTCAGATCTCAGCCTCCTTAGTAGCTAGGATTACAAGCATGAGCCACCCAAGCTTTATTTTTTAAAGTGCATGTTTTATATTCTAGCAGCTTTTATTCTATTTCTTTTTCTAATTTTTCAAAAATGAAATATTACCATTGATTATATTTCGTAAAGATAAAATTAGAAAACATGTAAGAAATAAGGCCCCCTTGTTTCCTTTGTTCTCTCTTGACCTTAATACAATCAGATTTTGGTCCCTTCTACTCCAGAATTTACCTCCACCATTCTACTAAATTAGATGTCACCCATGGCTTCTATGTTACCAAACACAGTAGTCCATTCTAGCCTCATCTGAACAGCGTACCTCATACCTAATGTGATAAACTGGATCCTCCTTGAAACACTTGTTTACTTGTCTTTCTGTAAGTGACTTCTAATCATATCTGCTAGCCATTCTTTCTAAATTTGCTTTGAAGGTTCATTTTCTTCTCCTAACCTAATTCTAGTTTCCTAGGGCCCAGTTCTCACACTTCTTCTCTTATCTATCTATATTCACTTCCTAGGTAATTTCATCTATTAATGTATAGGATCTATTAATATATATTATATATTAGTGTGTGTTATATACAGTATGTAGTGTATATTAATGGATTAAATAGACTGACAGCTGGGCTGATAACTATAATTATAGCTCTTAGAAATGTGGACCCCTTCCCAGCCAGTATTTGGATTCAGTGATGCACATCTGTCAAGCTACATAGGAAGTTGCAATAGGGAGAATTGTGGTTCCAGGCCAGTCTGAGTAGAGTCTGAGAGACTCCATCTCACCAGAGACAGTGGGCATAGTGGCACACATTTGTTATCCCAGCTAGAGACTCCATCTCACCAGAGACAGTGGGCATAGTGGCACACATTTGTTATCCCAGCTATAATGAAAAGCCTAAAATAGGTGGATTGTGGTATAGGCACTGCAATAGCCAGTGCAAGAATGTTTTAGAGGCATGCCTCATTGGTGTAAACACCTGCCTAACCAAGGACGAAGCTCTATAGATCACATATACAAACACAGAGATATACACATGGACACTGATAGCCCTATAAATTTATATTTAGTTTAGAACTCTCTCCTGAGCCTCAAACTTGAATATCTAACTTTTCCTTGAACCTACACTTTGATTTCAAACAAGAATTTCAAAGTTAACTTCTCTACAAACAAACTCTTTATTCTAAAACTTGTTCTTCCTTCCATTATTCTGACTTCAGTAAATAACTTCTCTTATTTGTGTTGTTTGGGTCAAAAACATTCTCCCTATAAGGGTGATGACTCTAACTCTATCTAAATCTAATGTCAAGGAGCAGTGTAGTAGGTACTTACTTGAAAATTATACAACTCTGGGAGGCTATTACTACTCCCATTTTACAGATTACCCAAAGCAAAACTACAATGATTATTAACTGATTGCAGACTTGTTAAATTTAGAAAATCAACCGAAATGTAGTTTCACCCAACTCAGAGTTCCCCTATTACCTTCTATTGTCTCTTCCATAAAGGGGCATGGACTAGAGAGAAGCTCCTTTTTGTTTATCACAGTCCTAGCTCCAAGAATAATGCCTGACAAATGCTAGTCATTTGCGAAAAAAGTGAAATAAAACTTTTCTATCATGACCCTCTTTCCTCCTCACACCCTATAACTGATTTATCAGCACATTCTGCTGCTTCTTTCAGTCCATGGCAACAGTTCAACTACTTATTACCTCTCCACTGCTTCTGCACTAATCCACACTACTATTTTCTTTCCTCTGCTATTATAATAGCCTCACAACTGATATATCACCTTCTCAGTTTCCACCCACTGTTCTGAAGTACAGCCATGGTCATACCTTGAAAACATTGGTCAGATCATGTCTTATACTAAACTTCCTTGGTGACTTCTAACTGTATTTTGAAGGAGGTCCAAAATCCTTATGGCCCCAAAGACTGCTATGATCTGTTCCAAGTACCTCATCCTCCTCTTCTATACCATTCTCCTCTTAATTTTTGAGCATGCTAATCATGTTTCTGTTCCTAGGCTTTAAACTTAACAGGTCCCTCCACCTGGAATTCTCTTCTTCCAGATAATTTCATAGCTTACTCCTTTACTTTTCCTAGATTCTCTGTAAGAGTTATCCAAGAGGCCTCCTAATCATAGTATATAAAATGGTGTGCAGGCATTACATGCAGGGCTGGTCATTTCTCACTCCCTTACTTTTATTTTTCTCATAACTTATATTACCCTGAGTATATAAAATACTGACATGAATAAGTGAATCCCTCAAAACAAAGCTTACCATAAGATTTAGAATATAGTGTTATCAAGTCTTGCAATAGTTTGTAGATAATTTAAACTGTGACATATCTAGGAACCATTTTTGTCCCATTTTTATTGACCTAGAGTTACAAGCTCTTCATATGACACTTATTGAAGATTTGCCCATACTTTTCATCTAAAATCAATTAAAATTTCAATTATTTATTCAGTATAAAATTCTTTACTCTTCTGGATCTTTTTTAAAATTAGTTTCTGATCCAACTATACTTTCTGAGATACTTTCCCTGTTGTTCAGATATCTTTCTGTTCCTGTGTGTTTTGTGCTTTGTTTAATAAAAAGGCCTAGCTGAAATTATAAAGCTGTTAAAGAAGGGAGAAATTAAAATCATGCCTTAATTTCTTTGAATCATTTGCTTTTAGATACAACATCAGTAGCAGAAGCAAGACACAATCCTAGCATAGGAGAGGGAAGTGTTGGTGGTCTGACGGGCAGTTTGAGTGCAAGTGGAAGCCACATGGATCGAATAGGAGCCATTAGAGACAACCTGAGTGAAACGGCAAGCACCATGGCTCTGGCTGGAGCTAGTATAACGGGGAGTCTGTCAGGAAGTGCCATGGTAAACTGCTTTAACAGGTAAGAAATCGTGTGATTTTGACTTATTTGGTTTCTGCCTTACGTTAAAAAAAATTTTTAGATGAGACTTTTTTGACTAGAATATGTTTAGCCTCTAACAAATGAAATTTAGTGGTAGATCAGATTTGTTTTTACTGATTAAATTTCCTGTCAAAATATTCTATGTTGTGGTAATAGCTAAATTGAGAAATAACATTCTGCCAGTTTGTCATTACACTTGTCACATTTGATAGGAGAAATTGGTGCTGGAGCTGCTTCAGTGTACACTGAAGGTAATGCTTAGCTTAGTCCTTCATTCTGGGGTCAGAAAACAGCTGGATATTGGGAAATGAGACTTTACCTGGGCTTGGTAACAAGTGGAGTCAAGACATCCAAGAGTACATGAACTTGGGTCAGGATAATCAGTCTAGGTCCTGTGGAGTTAATGGTCACTTCTCACCAAGTCTTATACTAATACTCATACAGATAAATAGGAGAAATTAACATGTTTTTTAATCTTCTCATGTTTCTTCTTTTTGATTCACTATGCTTTATTAATGTTTTTATGTAAAGGGAAAACATGAATCAAAAGATAAATCAGGCCAGGTGCTGGTGTCTTACACCTGTAATCCTAGCTGTTGCAGAAGGCTGAGATCTGAGGATTGCAGTTCAAAGCCAGCCTGGGCAGGAAAGACTATGAGACTCTTACCTCCCGTTAACCACTAGAAAACTGGAAGTGGCACTGTGGCTCAAGTGGTAGAGAGCTAGCCTTGAGCTGAAAAGCTGAGGGACAGTGCCCAGGACCAGAATTCAAACCCCACAACTGACCCCCTAAAAAAAAGATAAATCAGTTGTATTTGTCTTATTTTTAGGTAGATTGTGCTTGAACAGAAATTTTTTTATTTTTTTGGTCAGTTGTGGGGCCTGAACTCTGGGCCTGGGCACTGTCCCTCAGCTCTTCAGCTCAAGGCTAGTCCTCTACCACTTGAGCCACAGCACCACTCCCAGCTTTTTCTGCTTATGTGGTGCTGCGGAATCGAACTCAGGGCCTCATGCATGCAAGGCAAGCTTTCTACCACTGAGCCATCTTCCCAGACCTTGAACAGAAACTTTTAAGTTATAATTGTTATTGGAACAGAAGTTCTTTAAGTTATAGTCGTGTATATTATTATTTCTTAAAAGTCAGATATGGGTTGGGGATGTAGGTCAGTATCTCATATGCACAAGGTCCTCTGAGTTTGATCCCTAACACTACTGAAAAAGAAAAAAAGTCAGAATGCTCTTCATAGAATCTATTTTCTGTTCCAGTTCTGGGGCTTAAACTCATGGCCTGGGCACTATCCCTGAGCTTTTTTGCTTAAGGCTAGTGCTCCACCACTTAAGGCTGTATTTCTGGGGTTTTGTTTTGTCTTTGTTGTTTTGGTGCTTAATTGGAGATGAGTCTCATGGACTTTCCTGCCCAGGCTGGCTTTGAACAGCTATCCTCAGATCTCCGCCTCCTGCGTAGCTAGGATTACAAGCATGAGCCAACAGCACCAAGCTTAGAACCATTTTTAATGCAGAATTTTTTTGACTCACTGATCTGTCATGTGTAATGGTTGGTTATATGTTTTGATGTTGTGTTTTGCACTGAAGCATGACAGAGTGCCAAATCCTAAGTGAAAGTAGTGGAGCTTATTTAAGTTAAAAGCCCATTGTTTTATTTTTGTGGTGTTCTTTCTGCCTTACTTGGCTAATTTTTCCCATTGCTTCTGGATGACTGGAACTGACTATTCAGTGTACTACAATAGAATTTGAGTGATCAAGTAAGTAGAAACTGAAAAAAATAATGGTATCTAAAATTAGCTTCTCACTACTAAAGTTCTTAACTGAATTATTTAACATTAACATGGCATCGCAGTACTGAATTATAAATAATTTTGGCTTTTTATCTGATACCCTCCCCTTTAAGGTTGGAAGTACAAGCAGATGTACAGAAAGAACGGTACAGTCTAAGTGGAGAATCTGGTACAGTCAGCTTGGGAACAGTTAGTGATAATGCCAGCACCAAAGCAATGGCAGGATCCATTCTGAATTCCTACATCCCAATGGACAAGTAAGGAAAACATTGTTATAAAGCCACAAGTAGTTTTGAATTAAATTTAAAGGGATTATCTTTATCACCAAGCCAAAATAAACCAGTGAATAATAGTGACCAACTGTTAAGTACTTTGGGAAAAGAAATGGTGAGATATTCAAAGTAGACAAATCTAATAGTAGATTCCTGATTGCTGGAACTCCAGGGAGGAAAGAATGGGAACTGATTGTTACAGGGTATAGGGTTTCTTTGGGGGATGAAAAGACTAAAAATCACTAAATTATATACTGTAAATTATATACTGGTGAATTTAATCACATTTAAATTATACTTCACCTGGGACTGGGAATGTGGTTTAGTGGTAGAGTGCTTGCCTAGCATGTATGAAGCCCTGGGTTCCATTCCTCAGTACCATATAAACAGAAAAGGCTGGAAGTGGCACTGTGGCTCAGTGGTAGCCTTGAGCAAAAAGAAGCTCAGGGACGGTGCTCAGGCCCTGAGTTCAAGCCCCAGGGTTAGCAAAATTAAACAAAAAAATAAAACTTCGCCAAAGCTGTTTTTTAAAAGATGTGGGGAGGGTTTACAGGAGATACAAACATACCTGTAATCCCAGCTGTATGGGAGGTGAGATTTTCAAAAGAATTGCAGTTTGAGACCAGCCTACTCAAAATTAGACTCTATCTTAAAAAACAATCTGGGCATGGTGCATATGCCTATAATCACAATTACATGGGAGGTAAAGGTAGGAGTGATGCAGTTCATGACAAAGCCATGCAAACAAAGTAAAGCCCCAGACAAAATTATAAGACCCTACCTGAAAAAATTAACAAAGCACAAAAAGTATCTAGAACAGCGTAAGAAGTAATTATATCTACTACTATTTTTAAAAACTGAAGCCCTCTTCTTTCAATTAGTTTTATGTGTGACTATGTTCTGACAGCTTCTATATATAGCCTTTTGATTATTCTTAAAAAAAAAAACCTGCCCCCTTTGCTATCAGGTGAATAAAACCAAAGCCAGAAATTATATTTATTACTCCTGTGTTCCAGAGAGGGCAACAGCCTGGAAGTGCAAGTAGACATTGAGTCGAAGCCATCCAAGTTGAGACACCACAGCGGCAGCAGCAGTGTGGATGATGGCAGCACTCCCCGAAGCCATCCTGGCACTTCGTCTTGCAGCTTGCCAGAAGGTAAATCCAGTACAGCCAAATGGTCCAAAGAAGCTGCCGCAGGAAAGAAATCCAAGAGCAGCAAGTTGAGGAAAAAGGGGAACATGAAGATCAATGAGACCAGAGAGGACATGGATGCACAGTTGTTAGAACAACAAAGCACGAACTCGAGCGAATTTGAGGCTCCATCCCTCAGTGACAGTATGCCATCTGTAGCAGATTCCCACTCTAGTCATTTTTCTGAATTCAGCTGTTCTGACCTTGAAAGCATGAAAACATCTTGTAGTCATGGGTCCAGTGATTATCACGCCCGCTTCGCTACTGTCAGCATTCTTCCTGAGGTAGAAAATGACCGTCTGGAAAACTCCCCCTATCAGTGTAGCATTTCTCTGCTCACCAAAACTGCTTCATGTTCAGAAGTTCCACAGCAGAATCCTATCACTGAAGAACACGGTAACAGTGGAATAAAACCTAATGCTGATCTATATTTTGGTGATTCACTAAAAGAAACAAACAACAACCACTCACATAAGACAATGGAATTAAAAGTTGCAATTCAGACTGAAATTTAGGCCTATAAATGCTGCAAAATCATTACCACTGAACAACCTTGTTTGGAGCTGGTTAAATGTATGTGACTACTTTTTCACATTACCAGCAAAAGCCAGGTTTCATCAAAATGCAGATACCTTTTCTGTGTTCAGCAAACCATTGTGTTTCATGTGGATCTTAATCACCAAACTATGAAATGAAGGCTTTAAAGTGCATTATTAGGAAAATAGTACATCTTAAGAGTAAAGCATGTTTTGTGTGCTCACAAAACATTCTTGATACTATAGCTGTGTATTTAGATAGAAATGTGGCTTAATTTATAATAAGTACAAAATACTAATGCAGCTCTACAGCATTCTTACAAAGAAAACTTGAGGCTTTGAGATAAGTGGTTAGTGACATTTTATTGAAACCACTAAGGGATGTTATTCAAAATAACCAGGCAGGTTACTCAATATGTGATACTCTCTGCAACATTTCTATTCATAACTGGGCTTAAATTTCATTTTCTTCATATGTAATGAGAATATATAAAGCTTGGCAGCCTATTTGCAACCATTTGGATATATAAGATACTTTGAGCAAGATTGTGGCAGTTTTTGCACAACTTTGAAATAGAAATACCTGGTAATATATATGTGTGTGTATATATATATATATATATATATATATATACACATACATATATATTGTTGATGCTGTTTTAGAAGAAAAATGTAAAAGATAATTAAATATATTGACAGCAACAAATAAATAAAACTACAAAGTAAAGTCCCATTAGGTTGTAAGTATTACCAAAAAAAAAAAAAGTCATCTTTTACTAAGGGGAAATTTGTACCCCGTTGATTCTTGGTGCCTTTTGGGATAGTTTGGGTTTTAAGAGCCTAGTCATTGGAGGATTTTGCTGTATTGTGCACAGTGTCCTCTCTTACCACCTTGAATTATATAGAAAAATACAGGAACTAGATAAACATGAATGTGATTAATAACAATGCTGAAAAAGTATTAGCCTACCAAAGACACACTCAGGCTTTAGTAAATTTAACTTAAATGTAACCTCAGTTTTTAAACACATGTGTATCTTTTCCAACCATAAAATCAAAGGCACCATGCCAAGCTCATATGTGCCGAGTGCAAAAGGTCTGCATATGGTTGGCTTTAGAAGTTGGCCAAAATACTACCTGTATTGTTAACTTCCTATGTAGGTCACTTATATAAAGCAGGTTAATCTCAATGACAGCAGTTAAAATGTTCCTTCTATGTTTAAGTACTACCATTATGGTGCTACTGAGCATTTTCTTTTGATTAAAAAAAGAAAAAAAAAAGAAAAATGTCATGGGCTGCAGTCTACTTCCATCACCAAGTCTTTCTTTCACCAAGTCCATTAATATGCTTATAACACTAGTGCCAGTTATTTTATTTGATCATGCTTATTATGATATTTGTATATTTGTTTGCATTCCAGTTTTGTTCAATAATGAGTGTGTAAACTGCATATGTGAAATAAATGTAAATACTTTTGCTGCATTTTGATGTGTGAACAGGTATTTTTTTAAGTTTTATTTTTATAAAGGAGACACAAATCAGGTAGAGTACATTTTAGACAGGTTATTTTTGAAAGATACATTTTTTAAGGAATTTTCACTTGCTGTGTGATAATAGTCATCAATATTACAAGCCATTAAAATTATTTTGCTTCTGGCCTCAGTCACAAAGGAAGCATTTGCTGAATTTTCCAACAAATAATGTTAGAAATTCCATTTTTCATGTCTCAGTCCTGCCTTTACTGCAGAAGAAAGATACTTTGTTAAAATAATTTTATTCATAAAAGTGAGTTAGGGACTGGGGATTTAGTTAAGTGGAAGTGTTCTTGCTTATCATGTGCAAGCCCCTGGGTTTGATCCCCAGCACCACACACACACACACACACACACACACAGAAGTCAGTTGTTTGAATTTAAATTGAGTAAATAGGTCTATAATTGGGTTTGATATTATTGCAAAGTGCCATTTTAGCAAAAGTAAAAAATATTTTAGAAGACTGAAAAGAATGTGTTGTAGCATTAGATTATGAAGATGGAGCCTTTTAAATTCAAGCTAATAGTAACCCAACTGCTTTCATTTTTATAGCATCTATAAAATGCATAGGTGTTTTTTCTGTAGTACATAGTTAATGAAAATTAGTTAACTTCATGAAAATGTTGGCTGTCTTCTTTACATTTCTATCAAAGGCTGAAATATAAAAATGAGTTGTTAAGCCAGATGAGTAATGCAGGAATATAGTAATGTGGCATCATATAAGAGATCAGTGCATTCAGTTTACCTCACCCTCTACCCTTGTCACTGCCACCTCATCTTAAAAATGGTCCACCTGCCAGGTGCCAGTGACTCACACCTGTAATCCTAGCTACTCAGGAAGCTGAGATCTGAGGATTGCAGTATGAAGCCAGCCTAGGCAGGAAAGTCTGGGAGACTCTTATTTCCAGTTACCCAACAAAAAAAGCCAGAATTGGAGCTTTGGCTTAAGGGGTAGAGTTCTAACCTTGGGCACAAAAGCTTCGGGAACAGTGCACAGGCTATGAGTTCAAGCCCCAAGACTAGTGCACATGCACACAGGCGTGCATGTACACACACACCCACACAGATCCTTTCAGATGACTTCAAAAGCTCCTTCATATTTGGCTCTTTCAGGTGTGAATCATATAGGATCCAAGCCAGATTTCCTTGGAGCTCAACTCTGGTCTAGACTCAAACAAGAGAATATACTGCCAGGGTATTTAAAACAAGCTTTAACTCACTGAAATTTCAAGCACTCTACCACTTGAGCCACAGCTCCACTTCTGGTTTTTTGTTGATTAATTGGAGATAATTACAGACTTTACTGCTAAGGCAAGCTTTGAACCATGATCCTCAGATCTCAGCCTCCTCAGAACCAAAATTATAGCTGTGAGCCATGGGCACCTGGCTCACTGAAATCTTTTTAAACCTGCTTTCTTCAAGGCCTGGAAGAAAAGATCACATGGTAATGTGAGAAAAAAATACTGACTATAATATACCCTACTGATGATTATGTAACGCATGTTAATTGGATTCTCTTAAATGTACAAATTTTCAGCTTCAGAGTACCAAATCAGTTAAATGTCAAATGTGCATGATTTATCACTTTTAATTTTGTTGGAAATAGGGGAAATGTAGACATAGGTAAGATTTTCCAAGGCATATTATCTAAATACAGACTTGGATCACCAAAGAATATGTTGAAAGCCATCAGCTATTTGTTCCTATACGGCAGGAGCAAAATAAGTGCAGTTTCATAGATTGTTTTGCTTTTCCATTCAGAATCAAGTGTGTCAAGACAGGAGACTTGAACTCCCATTTCCTGCCAAGGAATTGTTCTTCTTTCTATTTCTCCCTTTTTTACTCCATTATACTAAAATCTTTATTAAAAACTTTAAAAACCCAGGCTTTAGTGGCTCATGCCTGTAATTCTAGCTACTCAGGAGGTAGTAATCCTGAAAATCACAGTTTGAAGCCAGTCCAGGTAGGAAGTCCATGAGACTACAAACTTCAGTTAACTACCAGGAAGCTGGAAGTGAAGCTATGGCTCAGGTATGGTAGAGTGCTGGCCTTGAGCACAAAAGCCCTGAGTTCAAGTTCTAGAACTGACAAACACACAAAAAGCTGCCCACATTTTTATGTGGTTCCTTTTAGTAATTCTCTATTGCATTTATTTTCATAACTGTGAGAAGCCATTATTAAAGGCTAATGTTGACTCCCAGCTGCTGGTGTTGAATGCCAAAAATAGTATAAATTGAAAAGTTTTATTATTTGAATGCCATTGATTAATAGACATGAGTTTGCAGTTTTAAATTTAGTTGAGATAGAACCACTATACCTTCTCATGCTAGTTAGGGATTTTTGTGTTTGCTACCTATTCATTTATTCAACACAGTAATAAAGGTGATGCTGGAAATACAGTGTAATACTAAATAAATAATCTGGCCTCAGAGATTGTATTACAGTTGGGAGAAAGTAAAAAAATAGGTAAACATACACATACAGCTTAAAATAATGTCAGATGATGATTGCTATAGAAATGCAAGTTGGAAGTAAGTCTGACTTTCTGGGGTATTGGGAAGATATTTTCTGAGTATTAGGAAACCTCCCTACTTTGAGAACACTTGTAGGAAAGGACCATGTAGGCATAACTTGGTGGATGAGTACTAATGAGAACTAATGGACAGTTTGGACATCAGTCTTGGAATTTGAAATCTAATAGGTAAGTCTGCCATCTTGTTTCTCTTGGAGAGTATCTTCCACAAATTCACAAAAAATTAAAACTAGGAACAACCCAAATGCCTAGTGAATGTGTGTGTGCCATCTTATGAATAGATGAATGAAATGTGATATGTCCATATATATATATATATATATATATATCCATGCATATATATACATACAATATGTGTATATATACATACAATATGTGTCCTTTTATGACTGAATTTAGCATGTTTTAAATTTCATCACTTTGTAAATTCAGTCATAAAAGGACACATATTTTATGATATATCTTAAATATAGAGAGATGCAAACCTGTAAAGACATGGGCAGTATAGTGTTTGTCTAGAGCTAAGGGGATTGTGTAAAAATGAGAATGCTCATGGTATGAAGGGTTTTGGGTTGGTTGGTTGGGTTTTTTGGGGGATGGGGGTTGTAGTGAAGTTTGAACTCAGCACTTTGTACTTGCTAGACAAGTGTTCTACTTCAGCCATACTCAGCCCTGGAGTTTCTTTTAAAGCGAATATTCTAAAATGTATTGTGGTTTTGTATGTACAATTCTGTGTATATACTAGAAGCCAATACATTTTACACTTTATAAATTTTACACTTGGTAAAATTTAATTTGTTTTTGAGATGAGCCATTTCAAAAGCTTGTACTGAGCTAGGTGCCTGTGGCTCACCCCTGTAATCCTTGATATTCAGGAGGCTAAGATCTGAGGATCCAGATTCAAAGCTAGCCTGGGCAGGAATGTCCATGAGACTGTTATCTCCAATTAATCACCAGAAAACCAGAAGTGGCGCTGTGGCTCAAGTGGTAGAGTGCTAGTCTTGAGCTGAAGAGTTCAAGGACAGGGCTCAGACACAGAGTTCAAGCCCCACGACCACCACCAACAACAACAACAACAAAGCTTGTACTGAACTTCTGTGATCGTTCTGCTTTAGTCTCCTGAAAAGCTGGGACTAACCATGCTCAGCCATAGTTGATTGGGTTAGTTTTAATGACTTAGTATGTCCACAGAATTTCATGAAAAAGAATAAATGAAAACTGCAATGACAAAGATCACCTGTAAAAGCAGTAAAAGTGCAACTGATATTTCAGTTGGCTATTATATCCTTATTTTGGTTACCTTTTCATTGTCTATTTGAAAAATATCTTTGTATGTTGTATATTATAGCTGTTGACAGTTTGACTCATATTTTTCTTTAGCAGGCATTTTGATGTGCAGCCTTTAATTCTGAAACTTTTGTCAGTTGTGGGGCTTGAACTCTGGGCCTGGGCACTGTCCCTCAGCTTTTCACCTCAAGGCTAGTGCTCTACTGCTTGAGCCATAGCGCCACTTCTGGTTTTCTGGTCATTTATTGGAGATAAAGAATCTCTTAGACTTTCCTGCCCAGGCTGGCTTTGAACTGCGATCCTCATATCTTAGTCTCTGGAGTAGCTAGGATTATAGGCATGAGCCACCAGTGTCTGGCTCTAATTCTAAAACTTTTGTTTTGGATGTACAGAGAAATTGCAAAGGTAGTTCATAGTTCAGAATGTTTATATTTGGTATATATGTGTATATATATTTTTATTACTATACATATTACATATGAAAGCTATATTGTTAATGTGCTTAATTTTTAACATCCAGGCCTTCAGGCTATAATAGTTAAAATCTCCCCTGGTCCTAAATTGTACTTAAGTCTTCTAGATTTCCTATGAGACTTTTAAATATATTTCATTTGCTTTCATTTCTGGAATTTATCCTATCATTTCATCTTACAGATAAAAAGCCATTTGTGTTCGAACTATTTGTTCCTATTTTCTTTTCCTACTGACTTGAATATACTACCTCAATACTAGAATCCATTTCTAGTTTCTACCAAAGCTCAGGTAAGGTATTATTCACACATTTTTTTTTTCTTTTTTGACAGTACTAGGGTACCTTGCCTCTTAGTCTCTGCTAGCCACTAATTTACTTTTGAAATCTATAGATTTGTCCATTCTCAACATTCCATATAAATGAAATCATAAGATATGGCTTTGTCTATCCTCTTAATGCTTTCAAAGTCATCTATCGAACAGCAGTATCTCATTCTTCTATGGCTGAATTATGTATTCTGACATTTGGGTGGTTTCTACTCATCTGTTATGAAAAATGCTCCTGTGTGTCTGAATTTTTGTGTAAACATTCTTGCAATTTTTCCTGTAGTGTTTTGGAATTGTTAGGCAAATGACAACTCAAGTTTTTGAGAAACTGACATACTTTTCCTAAGTAGCTGCACAATTTCATACTCACACCAGCAATACATGTGGTTTCTACTTTCTCCACATTTTTGCCATATTTTTGTCTTCTTATGTGGCTCCTAATATTTGCCCTTGTTTTAGTACAGATGCAGGCTGGAGTTAAGATTGTGTTTATTGGAATAGTCTTCTTAACCAGCTGCTTCATTACAGAAAATAGTTGGTAGTGTTTTAAAAGTAAGACTGATAAAACCTGGGTACTGGTGACTAATGCCTGTAATCTTAGTAACTTAAGAAGCTGAGAACTGATGATTGCAGTTTGAGGTCAGCCCAGGTAGAAAAGTCCATGCAATTCTTATCTCCAATTAACCAGCAAAAAGCTGGAAGTTGAATAGGGCTCAATATGGTAGTGCACTGGCCTTCAAGCAAAAAGGCCAAGGAAAAGAGTGAGGCCTGAGTTCAAACCCCACTACTAGAAAAAATATTGATACATGTGGAAGGTAGTTAAATCTAGCTGAATTCAAGTTATTCCGTTAGACTTCTGTGTGGCTTGGGCCTCTGCGGTGGTACCCCTGGAAGGGCAGTGTTGAAATGTTTCATGTGCCTGTGATAGTGAAGATTCTACACCAAAGCCATTAAATTCTCCTGAGCACTTCTCATTTACCTATTTCAAAATCTGGCTTGGATTTTAGAAAACGTTCCCACTCCTCTTAATACCTGTGGGCCCTTGAACTTTGAAACTATGCTTTGTACAAAGACTCCATATTCTCAGTGTTTTACAAAGTACCTATAAGCTTAAACAAGGTAAAGGCTATCTATCTCTCCTACTCCTTTACTCAGTCATGAATAGTTTAGCTCACCCCAATGCTTGTGCCATTTAGTATTAATTACAGGCTTCTTTCGGGCTTTGGGTCATAGGTCCTTATCTTTCTGAAAAATCACAAAGCTAAGATTCTGAATGCTCTGGGCTTTTAAGGTTTCCAAGTAACTGTGAAAATACTCCCAAGAATGACTGCGAATTTAATGCTACTGTAAACTTCTCAATAGTAGGAACTTGTCTAATCTGAACTCTGGAAATGAACACTGTTTAAGGCAAAATCTTCTGGATTCGTTCAGTGAACATTTATGTAGCATTTCAAAGCCTGTGCCAAACTCTGAATGTACAATAGTTTACATGTTGACTACCTTTTAAAACAAAGTGAAATTGAGAAGGGAGACATGCTAGCTATTACAAATAGGCCTGCCCAGCTGCACTTGTGGGGTTTCTTGCTGTAATGTGACTAATTTCCAGGAGGTGGCACCAGAGCGCTCCAGAGCCACATTTGTCTGGCTATGATGTTCTTATTGGAGGGGTCAGGCGTCTCCATATGTATGTTGTTCAAATAAATATGGTTGGTTTTACTGTTCTTATTCTTTTCCAACAACATTGATGCAATCATTTTACTTACAGGAAAAAAGCAATTGTCATTCGTGGCCTGATAACCGGGATACATTTTGGGAAACGCATCAGGTAAGTGACTGTTGTGCAAACATTGAAGTGTACTTTCACAAACAAAGCTCCCCCGTCTTAGGCAATACAGTATAATGAATCATTTATATTTGTATATAAGTCATCATTTACTATTAGAAAAAGCACATGGAAAAAAGAGAAATCTGTATTTTTGTTTGAAGACTCAAGTCCCCATTCCCGACTTTAACAACAAGGAAAAAACAGTTTAGAAGAAAAACGGCAGTTTGAAAGGAACCATTTACCCTTAAAGACAGTCTCTATAGTCCAGGCAGGCCTTGAACTCAGCTATGTTGCTCACTCCAGCCTTGAATTTGAAATTCTCTTGGCTTTGTAATCCTAAGGCTAGGATTACAAGCATACACCATGTAACTGGCCCACCCATGATGATTTTTTAAAGTGTTCTATAATTATGAAAGACCAGAAAAAATAATGGATATCACGATAATGAAAATGATATGAGCATCTTCACTTTTAAATGAGTAAAAAATAATTCTAAAGGAATTTAGACTGCAGTAATAATTGACAATACATTGAGATTTAAATATTTTATTGTTAAGAAATACCCTCTTAACAAAGGGGCTTTCCCTTTTGCAGAAATAAATATAAAGCAGAAAACAAAAGGTGGGGATATTTTAATTTGAGAAAATAAAGGGGTAACAATTCAAACACAAATACAGGCTGGGTTTCTTTTATATAGTAACTTTATTGCTTATATAAGCAATATATAAAGGAAAGATACATTTTAAAACCTAGTAAAAAGTGGTCGCAATTTTTGGCAATTTTCTTAATTATTAGGCAATACTTTATATTAGAAAAATAAGTTCCTAGCTCTAAATAAACTAATAATCAGACACCAGTGTTGTGTTTCATTTTAACAGACTCCACTAACAGTATAAAATTGGATTTATGTTATCTTCATAGGATACTAAGTGATAAATAATCACTGTTAAGACTCAATTTTTCAAAAGAACTTTAAAGCAATTCATTCAAATAGCCCAAAGAAAACTGCTTAAATCAAAATTTAACAGGTTGAGTTATTAAAAGAAAACATGTACTATAAATTAAAGTTCCACATATACTATTTAAATATAAAGATGTTGGCTCTGGTACATAAGAAATATTTACAACTAATAAAAAGAATTTGTAGAGTACATTTTTTGTATATTGTAGAATATACATGTTCTGTATATAAAAATAACTAAAATGTTTTACAGCCCAGACCTAAGTTATCTTTTCCAAGCCAGGTTTTATCCAGGCAGGCAACTCTATTTTAATACCATCTCATTAAGCAATACTGGAACTCGTACATGCATGGAAAAAAATCTAGCAATGATCTTGAGTTTAAAGCTCATACTGCTCTTTTAGGGCCTGTACATCTTCCAAAGAAAAGTGGTTGGTTTGTGCATCTGAAAGGTCATCAAATAGCTGTTTAGTTTGCTCCTTTTGGGCTTTGCTAATTAGTGTCAACATCATCTGAAAAAAAGGAAAAAGTTACATTAGCATTAAAAACATTTTTAAAATTTTGGAAACCCTAAAAAAACTCAATCTCTATTAATAAAATATGTCCCTGCTTACCTTAAACCTTTCTGCTGTGCTCAAATGCAAAAGGTGCTGATACACCAAGAAGGGATCCTTCCTGATGAGGTGATTTTTCAGAGACTGAATAAGGAGGAGGAATGTATCCCCTTCAAGTTTATTACTCAGGAACATTGGCAGATCTTCTGGTGCAATGATGCCTAAAAGGTGTGCACAAGCCTCTTCATCTTTCCTAGTATTTATAGCATTTAGAACCTGACCAAATTCATAGGCGTTATTAGGCTTGGAGATAGGAAGTCGCTCAGAGGGTTCTGGAGGCCCGTTACTTTCCTCCCCCTTCTCATATGTCAGGCAGTCCATGGAGACCTCCGAGGTTCCTTCAGGCTCCTCTTCATTGCCTTCGCTCACCTTCACAGGGAAAAAACGTACATGGTGACCCTAAGCAACAGTCACCGCACGCATCCTAGCCATGCTTGTCTAATTAGGCATTAATAACCACAAATTCTAAATGAAAAATTTGTAGATTTTCCAATATATTACAAAGTGTATGATTTCTTTATAGACATTTATGCTATAAGAATCCAAATAGTGCCGGGCGCTGGTGGCTCACGCCTGTAATCCTAGCTACTCAGGAGGCTGAGATCTGAGGATCACGGTTCAAAGCCAGCCCGGGCAGGAGAGACCGTGAGACTCCTATCTCCAATAAATCACCAGAAAACCGGAAGTGGCGCTGTAGCTCAAGTGGTAGAGCGCTCGCCTTGAGCTGAAGAGCTGAGGGACAGCGCCCAGGCCCAGAGTTCAAGCCCCACACCACCAAAAAAAAAAAAAAAAGAATCCAAATAGTAGGAGTAATTCTTTGAGTTTTTAAAAACCGTTTCCTCATTGAAAATGTACCAAATGTTACTTTTATGACTTTCTGCAAATAAAAACGGTATATAAATAGAAAACATATATCAATTTTCTTTCATAAAAAATTTTTTTTTGCCAGTCCTGGGGCTTGAACTCACAGGGCCTGGCCTCTGTCCTTGAACCTCTCTATGCTCAAGGCTAGTGATCTACCAGTTGAACACAGTGCCACTTTTGGCTTTTTCTGCTTATGTGGTGCTGAGAAATGGAACCCAGGGCCTCATGCATGTAAGGTAAGCACTCTGCCATTAACCCACCTTCCTGGCCCCATCCTTGCTTCCTTTTACCAGTACATTTTGATAATTCTATTTTCTACTTAAAGCATTAAAAAAAACTTCCTAGCTTCTCTCACCTATTAGCCTCTTAATCTAAATGGAGATGTCAGATAAATAAGAGGCTATTTATTCATGAATGAAAATATATATGACTTGTGACCTGACATTCCTCATTAATGGCAAAGCAAAATGTTTGAGTTACTATAAATCACAAAGATAGGTTTGATCCTGAGGTAGTCGAAGGTCTCTGATGAGCTCGTATTATTTCAGAGTAATGAAAAAGCTGAGTCAATTTCAAATATCTTCATGGGGTGTGGCTTTCAAGGGGCCCTGAAACTGAAGTCAGCCCTGTCAGGATTTCCAGGTAGATCCTGAAACAAAACTGGAGGGCCAGGCTGGGAATGTGGCTTAGTAGTAGAGTGTTTGCTCAGCATGCATGAAGCCCTGGGTTCGATTCCTCAGTACTACGTAACAGAAAAAGGTTGCAGTGGTGCTGTGGCTCAAGCTGTAGAACACTAGCTGTGACAGTGCCAAGGCCTTGAGTTCAAGCCCCAGGACTGACAAAAACAACAAAACAAGAGGGCCAAAGGCTCCCATGCACCATAAGTAGAAACAGTTCAAATGAAAAGCTTACATGGAGGTGGCAGGGAAAGCAAGTAAGGTGGAGATGCTGATACCTGCTCTGCACCCACATGGAGAAATACTGGGGCCAATCATGATGGCAAAGGACAAGCTTTGTCTTTATAACTGGTTAAGTTTTGTCAATGACCATCAGAATAAACAGAATTGTGTAGAATCCATAGGAACTGCCTTTGGAATTCTGCAGATCTCCAGAAGACTATTTTCCAAAAACAAATAATGAAATGTAAATACCTCTTGAATTTCAATTTTCTTTCTCTCCTTTTCTTTGCTGAATGTTGCTGTGTTGTCCTTAATACTAAGCAATCTGGTTACCTCTTCCAGTTCCATCTTTGCCTCAACAATATTTGGATCTAGTAGGAGAACTTTATTGAGGTCAGATAAGCTTTCCTGAAAATTCTGAAAGTGGGAAGACAGAATAAGACAGGGCCTAGATTAGCACGAGTGACAAAATTGCATTGCAGGGTGATGGTTCCATTCTTACTGCAACTGAAAGGGTATCTCATAGTACAGCATAGTACATCTATCGAAAAAGCCCACTGTCCAGAGTTAGCAAGCCCAAATTTCACTCTCACAGCCATTGGTGGTTAATTGGAGATAAGAATCTCATGTAGTGGGAGAAAAGAAGGGAAGAAATGTACTCATTCCCTTACTTATGTCACTGTAACCCTTCTGAACATCACTTTTACAATAAAATTTAAAAAATTTTAAAGAATCTCATGGACTTTGCTGCCTGAACTGGCTTTGTACCTTGATCCTCAGATCTCAGCCTCCTGAGTAGCTAGGATTACAGGCATGAGCCACCAGCGCCCAGCAACCTTCCTTGTATTAAATGCATGATAGGCACATGTGCGGAATGAACAAATAAAAGACTTGACATCCTTTTATTAGCCTTTCATCACTAGCACAATTAGTAAGGAAACAACACCCAAGCCAGGCATGGTGGCTCACATGCACCTGTAGTTCCAACTACTTAAAGAGACTGAGGCAATAGAAAAACTTGAAGCTTAAGATATCTCTGGGCGATGAAGTGAGATGAGCTTCAGTTTTCTCATCTTTAAAATAAACTAAAACTAATTTTTGTGAGTTTGTACTAAAGAATTGATAAAAACTAGTTTAAACATATAAAGGGCTGTAGAAATGGCAACTATTATTTGAATGTTCTTGTTTTATAAAAACCAAAGTTGTTCACTATTCAAAACAGGACAACAGCAAACCTTTTTCTTCTTCCTCCTCCTCTTTTTTTTTTTTGTGCCAGTAATGGGGCTTGAACTCAGAGCCTCAAGCTCTTACTTGTCTTTTTCGCTGAAGGCTGGTGCTCTGCCCCAGCTTTTTGGAGATAGAAGTCTCACAGACTTTTCTACCCAAAGTTGGCTCTGAACTGGGATCTCAGGTCTCAGCCTTTTGAGATTACAGGGGTGAGCCACCAGCAGCTAGCAGCCTTGGATCTCACCTGAGAGTCAGACAATGCACTGGAGAAAGGGGGGGGGGGGAGAGGGGAAGGGTGATAAGAAAGATGTGGCCATTGAATTTAGTAGCAAAGACAAATATCACAAAATCAGTCTGCTGTAACAGGTCACATTCTATAACTACAAACTAGACCTATATTTTGATTAAGCCCAATTGTGAGGAAGCAGGGAGCTATAGTATTTTACGTAGTCATGCTGTGGTAACAGCTGCACTGGGGCTGAGCCACAGATACACTAAACTAGGGGTTCTGTGACATTCCCAAGAGACTAGCTATCATGTCACCTCCCTTCTTCCCATCAGCAACACACCAGAGCAAGAGTGACATAATAACCTTACCTCTGGTTTGGGTTTTTGGTTTTTTTTTTGGTTGTTTGGGTGTTTTTTTTGGTGGGGGAGGGGATTGGTGCTGGTCCTGGGGCTTGAACTCAGGGCTTGAGTACTGTCCCTGAGCTTATTTTTGCTCAAGGCTAGTGCTCTATTACACAAGCCATAGCTCTACTTCCAATTGGTTTTTATTTTGGGTTTTTTTTAGGGGGGAATGGGGGTAATATTAAATAGAAGTCAGAGTCTCCAGACCTTCCTGCTTGGGCAGGCTTTGAACCACAATCCTCAGATCTCAGCCTCCTGAGTAGCTAAGATTACAGGTGTGAGCCATCAGTACCTGGCTAATAAATCTGTTTTAACTTACTAAAAAGGCAAATTATTTACAAACTTAATATCCTATACACAACTCTCCACATACTACCATATAATAGTATGTATAATAAAAACTACTGTATAAGAATAATGCTTCATAATAACATAGAGCCAACTAAAAAAATATTGGCATTCTATTCCTACCCTATCCCTAGGTGGGGAACCACAGGTGAAAGGCAAGAATCTGGCAAAAGGCAAGTTGATCAAACGATAACAGTTAACATCCCATCCTAAGGATTTTACAGGTAGCCCTTTACTCTTACAATATCCCCTATAATTATTAGCTTTTGCTGTATTAAAAGTAAGATATAAAAGAAGCAGCTTTGGGATGAGCCAGCAGCCAGGCCCAAACGCTGCATGACAGTTCAGTATGGACCTCCAGTGTGACGTCTGAACTCAGACCTGTGAACCGCAACCTGGCAATGGAAGTCCAACACATCGTGGATCCCTTTGTTCTCAGCACTTGATGAAGTACGTCTGGAAGTGCAAACAGCATCAGGGCAAGTGAGAGGAGAGGGACCAGAACAGTAAGAGCAGGGCAGCAGAGCTGGGGCTACAGTGACAGGAAGGGCAGGCTTGTTCTTTTTGGATTTTTTTTTTTTTTGGCTAGTCCTAGGGCTTGAACTTGGGACCTGGGCGCTGTCTCTTGAGCTTCTTTTGTTCAAGGCTAGTTCTTAAGCCACACCACCACTTCTGGCTTTTTCTGAGTAGTTTATTGGCAATAAGAATCTCACAGACTGGGGCTGGGAAGGTGGCTCAGTGGTAAAGCGCTTGCCTTGCATGCTCGAGGCCCTGGGTTCGATTCCTCAGCACCACATAAGCAAAAAGAAAAAAAAAGAATCTCACAGACTTTCCTGCCCAGGCTGGCTTTGAACTACAATCATCAAGATCTCAGTCTCCTGGGTAGCGAGGATTACAGGCATGAGCCATCGGCACCCAGCTAAGGCAGGCTTGTTCTTACATAAGCTTATTATATCCCATGAGAGGAAGCAATTCTTTAAAAAAAAAAAAAAAGGGCTGAGAAGGTGGCTCAGTGGTAGAGTGGTTGCCTTGCATGCATGAGGCCCTGGGTTCGATTCCTCAGCACCACATAAGCAGAAAAAGCTGGAAGTGGTGCTGTGGCTCAAGTGGTAGAGCGCTAGCCTTGAGCTGAAGAGCTGGGGGGACAGCGCCCAGGCCCAGAGTTCAGGCCCCACAACCAGCAAAAAAAAAAAAAGATAATTACAGACTAAAAAGCAGAATACAGTGGAAGCATGGCTGGCTCCAGCTTGCCTTGCAAGCACAAAGCCCTGAGTTCAAACCCCAATCCTGCCAAAGTAAAAAAGGAGAAGTGCGAAGTTTGAGATGGATACAAAGGAGGAATCTTCCTTTGCTGCTGTGGGAAAGTCAGGACCTGAAGGGAGCAGGCACACAGCAGGAAAGTAATTATTTTGTAAGGTGTTACTCTTTTTTAATCTTTTGGCTTTGGTATCATTTCCTGTTGCTGTAAATTCCTTAAGTGGATATCATGTCTCATTCACCTTTACACTAACAACCCTAGCATACAACTAGCACTCAATAAGAGAAATAAATTGTATGTAAAAACAAAATATTTATACCTTTTCTCTTTTTTTTGTTGTAGCTCAAGGCTAGCACTCTACTTTTTCTGCTTATGTGATGCTGAGGAATTGAACCCAGGGCCTCATGCATGCAAGACAAGTGCTCTACCACTGAGCCACCTTCCCATCCCTATACCTTTTCTTTCAGTACATATTTTTGGACACACGTACATACACACACACACACTTTCTCTCTCCCTCTCTACTACTACTACTAGTACTACTACTATTACTACTATACTACTATTACTACGAACTACTAAACCAGCTTAGAAAACAAGATCTGAGAAGGCAGAGCTCAACTGCAGGCAGACAGAGGCACCTGCTACCAAGGGGACCTCCCCCTCCCCCGGGCCACATCCTCATTATAGTTGCTCTTTAAAAATGGACCCAGATGTGAATTCTGATGCATTTTACAAGCAGCTGTGGCCTTTGACAGGCCTGACATTAAATTCTTCTGGCGCATGCCTCAGCCTACTGGACCTACTTCATTTTCTACATCAAGCTATAATAAGTCAAACCAGAAAAACAAGATACCAGTGTCATAATCTAGTGAGTTAGGGTTACTCAAATTGGGGATTATCTTTCTACATCATAATAGAATTTCTAGAATTCATTCTAAGAAGTATACAATCCCCATCCTTTAGTAGGTATACCTTCGGCTCTTTAGTCAGCTGAACAGGTTCCAAAGGCCAGTATGAGGTGGAATAGCTCTAAGAGTCTGGGCACATGTAATTCATGAGTCATGCACATCCACCTTCCTTGGCTAAATCCATTTGCTTCAATAGTTGAGCAAGTCATCTGACTCAGGGTGCCACATGCCATGCCACCTACAAAATCTATACAGCTTTACAATTACTAGCACAGTCAGTGGGAGGGGAGAGGGCAGGAGATAAAAAAGGGTCACGATGACACAATCTAAATACAGTGCGGCCGAATGGTTTTCTCGGGTGGTGGCATCTGTGTCCTGGTGCGGGGCTAGCTCTACTGCAGCCTAAGGGGGTCTGTGATCTAGAAAAGCCTCAGCATTCAGGGCACACATATGGTCCTCGTTTGACACAGTATACAAACAACATGACCTAGATGCTGCCCCTTCAGTAATAGACCTGGATCAAGTATCTCAAAACTAAGCAGGTCAAAATCACTCTTCCTCAGGAGCCTGTCTCCACGCCTGTGCCCCCTCCATCGTCACCTGCATCCCGCAGCCATGCGGCCTCTCCTGCCCCCAGTCACCTCCACGGCTATTTTCTGCCAACCCATCCCACACAACCTTGAATGAATTCCTGTCCTCCCATTATGATCTGAATTTTGTTTGTGCCACCCCCAAATTCAAATGTTGACATTTAAACAATACATTAGAATATAATATACTTGGGCAGAGGGTCTTGAAAGAGGTAATCGAGTTAAAATTAGCTCATTAGAGGGTAGGCCCTAGTGCAATTGACTGGTATCCTTATAAGTGTTAAGTGTGGACAAGAACACATACCCAGAAGCAAGACTGTGAAGACAGTGGCCTGAGGAGAAACCAATCTGCCTCAACCTCAGACTTTGAATCTTGAGAAATGCCACCTAAATGGCCTCTCATCTTCCTACTCTATGGGAGATGCCTTTCTGATCTTTGTTCATGCCTTCCCTGAAACAACTATCATGTCATCATTTCCTTTCTCCCCCTTTGGTGGCTCCCATCACCTCCAGGATAGACCAGCCTCCTCCGCAAGGCCTCCCAGCCTCAACTGGACCTGATCATCTCTCTCCATTCCCACATCCTATACACACCTGGTCTCCTACTGCAAGGTACACACACAAGTCCATTAAAAAAAGTCTAAGAATATCAAAGAAGCTTTATGTATAACAGTTCCAGGCTGAACGCAAGCTAAAGGACTGTTGAATGCATGACTATATAGACTGGTATATTTGTACAACTCAGTAATAAAAAGGAATAATCACATCCATACAGTATAGATGAATCTTATATAGTACTGACTGAAAAAACTCAGAGTGGTCGTTTTATAATAGTACTAAAAAGCAGCAACACTATAGTGACAAATCAGATGAATGCTTGCCTAGATAGGTGGGGAGGGGGATATTGCCAAAGGACACAGGGAGCTTGCAAAAGTCAGTGATCACCACAATTACAAAGTGAAAGCACGGAAATGGAGGGACAAGGGGTGAACCAATGCAGCAATGGTACTCACTAGACACTATGTTGAAAATGAATGATAAGACTGTGGCTGGGAATAAGAGGGAAAAACTGGAAGAGAGCGAGGGAAGGGGTAACATTGTCCAACGAGGAATGAGCTCATTAACTGACTTACGTAACTGTAGCCCCCCTGCACATGAACTTTTTAATGACAGCAAAAAAATAAAATTTTGACAGGAAGGGAAGAGAAGAGAATGAAGTCACAATATTCAATACATATCCAATGAAACTAGGAAAACTCAGTGGAAGACCTGGACTGGGAGAGATGGTGGAGAATGGTGAAAGGCGGGGAGACACAAAGAATGATCAAGATGCAATGTATTCACAAATTGATTTACTGAATAGGAACCTCTGTACAACTATCTGTACAACTACTTTATAAAAATATACTTTTAAAAGTAAAAAAAATATTTTTGTTAAATCTTAATAAGTTTTTTTAAATGTTTCAGGAAATATATTTTCCAATGTTTTCTGGGTTTCCTGATGTTGGTATTTTCTACATACGTGAATACTCACTGACTAAGAGTTCCATGCAGAAAACCAGCATAAGGATAATTATGCAACACCCTCTTTCTTTGAAAAGAATGGTGCAGTTTTATTTATTATTATTGTTATTATTATTAATCTTTAGTAGTTATACAGAGGTTTCAATAGTTTCTTGGGGAAAAAAGTCCTTCTGTAGTCCCTCACTGACTTACTCCAGCTAAGGCTCAGGTCACCACAAGCTTCCAAATCCCTTATCTGTCTCTACCAACTGGCGCTGGGTGGTCCAGACTCCATCCAGATGCTTTCCCTCATGCCCTCTCCATTGCGTTACTTGAGGATGTTAGCAATACATTGACAAACCTTCTTGGGTGTTAAAGTAAACCAATGGTAATACACTCTCCTTAGAAGACTAGAGAATGAGTCTGAATTTTGAACTGGAACCATCTTTAAAAGTATCTGCTCCACATGTATAGTTAAGGGAGAAATTGGAAGTTGACTGAAGTTTTAGGACAGGTTGGTGTAGTGCTAGGATTTAATCAACATTCCATGATCCTGAGACTTACTTATGTGGTTTGTTCAGGGCTGAAATGTACCCAGGAAAAGGCAGATGTCCTCACCTTGAGTCCTTTCTGAGCGAGCGCTCGCCTATAGCACGCTTTCACATTATCACCATCGATGTGAAGCGCCTGGTCACAGTCCTGCTTTGCCTCTTCAAACTGGCCCAGCTTCAAGTAACAGAGAGCTCTAGCATAATACAGTAGGGAATGCAGGATTAGCAGAGCTAAAGATAGCAGTGAAAATCAAACAACTCAATAAGTCTTTTATACCACAGAAAGTGAGAATGATGTGTTGCCAAGGCTCTGGGCTGAGGAGGTGAGGAATAAAAGCAGGACACAGACCTATGGCAGAACAGCACAGCACTATAGATGAGTTCAGAAAATCCAGCCTGGTGCCTGTGGCTCACGCCTATAATCTTAACTACTCAGGAGGCTGAGATCTGAGGACCTTGGTTCAAAACCAGCCTGGGCAGGAAAGTCTGTGAAACTATTATCTCCAATTAATCACAGAAAAAGCCAGAAGTGGCACTGTGACTCAAGTGATAGGATGCTAGCCTTGAGCAAAAGGAGCTCAGGGACAGTGCCCAGGCCCAGAGTTCAAGCCCCAGGACTGACCAAAAAAAAAAAAAATCTGCATGGCTGGAGTGCAGGCACAGGGCTGGGAGGACAGGCCAGATCATAAAGGTATTTGTCCATCATGGCTGAGGCTGGGCTGTATTCTGAGTCTAACTGAGGTCCTCTGAAAGGTTTGTAATAGGGGCTGACATGCCCGCCGTGTCTTAGAAAGATCACTGCAGCTACAAGGTGGAGAATGAAATGAGGGAAGAACATGCAGGGGTATCGTGGAGGTATTGCAGACATCTTGCAGGAGGTGACATTGGCCCATAGCAGGAGTGATGGGGAGAGGGCAGACTGGTCATGCTGAAGGAATGTTTAGAAGATAGGCCTGTCCCAGCTTCCTGGGAGAGGGAGGCCAGAGGCTGAAGTGGGGGGTCCGAACTAGAATTCAGAAGCTAGAGATGGGAGTTAACATGACAAGGTATAAATGATGCTGGGCAAGGGGCGGGATGCCATGGTCTCCAGAGCGCATGGAACAGATCAGGGCTCGAGACCTGTACCCTGAGATAACTGGAGTCAGAAAAGTCTGCGGAGAGAAGAGAGTTGCAGTCAGGGAGAAGGGAACTTAGGGAACAGTGGCCACTGGTGCCCAGAGGCTGCCCTCTGCCAGAGGCTGGAGGAGAAGGAAAGAAAAACATCTGCTACTGTCTATGATGATATTTTTTGGCAAAAAAAAAAGTTGCCACCAGAGGAAAATATGTACAAAAAACTTGGTGAGCAATTATGTCAAGACCTTATCTGAAATATTCTCAGAAAACATCGGGAAACTAGCCTTCATTCTTCCTGTCAAAGAGACTCTACTCACGCCTAAAAGTCTCTAAATCACCAAATTTTAGAGGCATCTTTCACCATTTGTGGTGAAGATGACACCAAAGCAGCATTCTAAAACGCTCTGTTCCTGTTCTTGCTGTACATTATGAAAGATGTTGGTCCTTCCCCTCAACCCCTCAGATTTTAAAAAGAAGAACATTGCCAATCAGCAGGAGTGGCTCACGCCTGTAATCCTAAGTAGTCAGAAGACAGAGATCAGAAGAACTGTAGTTCAAATCCAGCAGGGTCACGAAGCCAGGGAGATCCCATCTCAACTCACTGAGAGCTGAATATGGTGGCACGTGCCTGTCACCCCAGCTGAATGGGATCACTATTCTGACTACCCCAGACATAAATTTGAGATTCTATTCGAAAAGTAAAGAAAGCAAAAAAAAGCAGAGGGTAGAACACCTGTTAGGAAGCACAAGTTCCTGAGTTTGAACCCCAGTACCACTCAAAAAAGGGGTGAGAGCATTGATCCCTAAGACACTATTTTGAAAAGCCATTGGTTCCCACTCTTGCTACACTGAAGAGTGCCCAGGCCTGGCTTGCTATAGCAAGAGGACAGTCATCCACGAAGTGCTGAGTGAATGCGGCACCAACTCAAGCCAAACACAGCTCACAGGAACCCGGAAACGGGTATCAGACCCTAATCCATCCCACACTTCAGCTCCCCAACCCCTCCACAGCGCCCCAGGCCCACCTCTCCACAAAAACTCACTAGAACAACTTGCCAAATGGATTCCTAGAACCATATAAAAGAAAAAAAAGCTTTGGCAATTAAGTGTATTAATATAATTTAATTATTAATTGTAATATAATTTAATAATTGTATTAATATAATTATTAAAGATTATTTTAGAATAACTGAAATTATGAATATAAGACATATAAAATTACAAACTTGCCTGTTTGTATATATGGCACATTCCTGGTTGTTAATCTTCAAGCACTCGCTGTATTTACTAAGAGCACCTTTGTAGTCCTTGTCCTTAACATACTGATTTCCTTCTTCCTTCAGGGCTTTAAACTTTGTTTCATCTATGGGAGAGAAGGGAAAAGAAGCAAGGAGGGAAAAGAGGTAAGGATGTAGAGAGAAAGAGAAGACATAATGAAATATCTCTTCAAAATCTGAAGTACCACTTCAGTGCACAACATTTACAGAACAAATCCAAATGGAGCAAAGCTTTATATACAGAGTAAAAGACAACATGGCTATAAGTAAAAGTAATTATATAATTGCAGCACTATCATTTTCCTTCTTTGTTTTTTTTTTGGGGGGGGGTTCCAGTTGTGGGGCCTGAACTCTGGGCCTGGGTGCTGTCCCTCAGCTCTTCAGCTCAAGGCTAGCACTCTACCACTTGAGCCACTTCCGGCTTTTTTCTTTTTGCTTACGGGGTGCTGAGGAACCGAACCCAGGGCCTCATGCATGCAAGGCAAGCGCTCTACCACTGAGCCACCTTCCCAGCCTCTCCTTCTTTTTTGGGGGTCCAGTCGTGGGGCCTGAACTCTGGGCCTGGGTGCTGTCCCTCAACTCTTCAGCTAGAGGCTAGTGCTCTACCACTTGGGCTACAGCCCCATTTCTGGCTTTTTCTGCTTATGTGGTACTGAGGAATTAAACCCAGGGCTTCTCGCATGCAAGGCAAGCACTCTATTACTGAGCCACCTTCCCAGCCCCAACCACTATCATTTTCGAAGTAGAAAATAAAATATGAGAAATTATGCCATGTGATCTATAATGGCACATCTTGTTTTTAGAGTTGGGAGAATCAAATAAAGCTCCAGGACACAGAGGACTACAGGAGAAGAGGTGGGAGTCTCAAACATGGCTGCTCCTGTGAATTCACAAGCACCACCACCGTGATTCCTATGGCCTCCACGCACGCACGCGGCCTGGCACAGCACTGTGACAAGAGTACATGAGGCACTTTGCACCTTTCACTAAGCTACAGGAAACAGGGATCCAAGCATCTCCAGCCTCTGGCTCAGTAACTTCATATTGTCAAGCAAACCCTAAAGCTTCAAGTGGATGCCTACTCTGCTCCCTAAATTGCCTGCTAGATATTTTAGTGTTTTACACACACCAATCTCTATCTGCTCCCTCTGTCACGTGCGCAGTCTACTAGGGCACATAATATACATGATCTCCATTTATTCCTGAGAACTGTCTGCTGAAATACTATTCCTGTTCTCCCTTTCCTCGTATTAAGACATGGGAAGGGGAAAGCAACTTAAGAGTGGGTAAAGAAAGGGAGAAGCGGGGGAGGCGTCCCAGGGGAGGGAGGGGGGTGTCAGCCAGATCTGGTTCCAGAGTTCCAGGCTCTTCTCTGCTTTACTCAGGAAATGTGCACAGGACTCCAGAAGCCCCCGGAAATAGAGAATGGAGGTCCCCTCCCCCAACACACCTGGAACGCTTGGTGGGGGATGGCCGCTGGGATCAACTGCTTGATCTGGGGTCATCTCTGCTGCCGGACACCAAGCTCGAAATGGCTCAGAAGTAGGCACAGTAGGAATGGGTGGCAGCTTCTCTCGCCAATTTGGTCCATCTAGTTCTATTAATATTTTTGTTATTCTAAAAAGAAAATGAGTTTTCTCTATTAATCAAGATTTGCTTTTTATGCTTTTGAAGGTCAGATCAAGATAGCAGGTACCATACCTAAGTATACGTCCTTGTAGAAAACACTGTTTTGAGCTAGTTTTGAAATTACTGTAAAAAGTTGTCTTTAATGATGTAACCATTGTCTCTTGGTTGTTGTAGCTCTATTTTACTTTGAGACAGACTACTTTGCTGTGTTGTCCAGACTAGACTCCAACCAGTGATCCTCCTGCCTCAGCATCCCAAATAGTTGGGATTAGTGGATGTGTACAACCATGCCTACTAGACCATTTTCTCATCAAAAGAAAATGTTAAGACCTTTTCATTGCTTTTTTATTTAAAAAATGCAATATATGCTCAATAAAATTCAATTTTTGAAGAAGTGACACATGAAATTAAAATATAGGAGGCCTAAAAGAAATGTCCTTCATATTCTTTAATGCTTACTAAATGCATAAGGCATTCCTCTTGGGAATAATCAGAAGTCCCATGAGATTTCAATGCACACAACCTGGGGAAACTGAAGCTAACAGCAGGTGAGAACTAGCTTCTTCTTTAATCATTCCCATGTGGTTAAGCTACTCCTCCTTGGTACTTTTTCCTTTCTAAAACTGCTCATCTATTTTCTTTCATATGAATAAACATGAAAAGTAAGATACTGGAGCCTACCTCCAGAGCATTTATCCTAATGACATTTAGTAATTACCACCATAAAACTCAGATTTATGTCCTTGATTATCCGATCATTATTATTTTAAACATATACAATGCCACACTTAGATTTAAAAACAAAATTGAATTATGTCTTAGGATGAATCTGACTTAAAACAGCATTTCCCAAAACTGAACAAGTTAACTAGTAATTAGTACAATGCATTTAGCTGACATCTATAATCTCATATACTATTTGTGTGAAATTATAGTTATATACAGAAAGTACATACATACTTTCCTACCATTTATTAAACTGAAATTTCAATGGTAAACTTTGTCTGTTATAACTATATCTCATTTTAGTGTAAAAGGGTAAATTTGAAAATTAATGTATAACCACCCATCATAACAGAAGAAAAAAGTAGATTTTGGAAAGAAAAAAAAAGGAAATTTTAAACAAAACTTGTATTACCAGTAGAGAGGAAGGAAGAAGCAGCTGAAAAGAGATGATGTATTTGTTGCCAGGGAGGAAATAAGGATATGCAGGGGAATTTAACATATTAAGATTCCTGGAGAAGAAGAAAGGAATATGGTTAATGGAAGACAGAAATAAAATAAGCACGGATGTCTAAATTAAAATAAAAAGAAATTGCTGATGTCAAGTTTTCCATAATGGACTGAAATAGATGCAAAAGGAAATAAACATGGAATTCACAAAGGAATGATGAAACTTTTAAAATATTTTATCTAAAAATATAGGGCAAAATCAAAACCTCCTTATCTGCCTTATAGAATAACACACCAACAGAGACCATTCAACTACAAAATGACGATCTGTTTTTGCAGAGGGGGGAGGGCAGTACAAGGGTTTAAAACAACTCAGGGCCTCTCACTTGCTAAGTAGGCACTCTCTTACTTAAACCATGCCCTCAGCCCTAAAAAAAAAAAAAATGCCTGTCTTAAAAGTTGGTATGAAAGGGGCTGGGAAGATGGCTCAAAAGTAGAGTGCTTGCCTTGCATGCCTGAGGCCCTGGGTTGGATTCCTCAGCACCACATAAGCAAAAAAGAAAAAAAGCTGGAGGTGGTGCTGTGGCTCAAGTGGTAGAGCGCTAGCCTTGAGCTAAAGAGCTGAGGGACAGCGCCCAGCCCAGAGTTCAGGCCCCACTACCGGACCAAAAAAAAAAAAAAAAAAAGTTGGTATGAAAGAACTTTTTTGAGTACATATACAAGATCTAATACAAACCTCAAAAAGTTGGGCTGGGAAGGTGGCTCAGTGGTAGAGTGCTTGCCTCACATGCATGAGGCCCTGGGTTCGATTCCTCAGCACCACATAAGCAGAAAAAGCTGGAAGTGGCGCTGTGGTTCAAGTGGTAGAGCGCTAGCCTTGAGCTGAAGAGCTGAGAGACAGTGCCCAGGCCCAGAGTTCAGGACTCATGACTGACCAAAAAAAAAAAAACCTCAAAAAGTTAAACACAGAATTACTATGTAGTCAACAACTCTACTGCTTTGTATATAGCAAAAGGAACTGAAACAGGTATGCAAACAAACACCCATGATTCTCAACACACTATTCACAACAGCCAGTTGTGAACGGACACTAATGAACGGACAAACATGTTGTGACATATCATGTGTGTGATGGATTCAACTATAAAAATAAATGAAATGAACAGAAAAAATCATAAACTATGCACATATGACTATATAAGATGATGCTAAGCAAAATGAACCCCAAGATAGGGACACAAGAAGTTTTATCTTGTTGCTGTTGTTTTTAATGTACTTATAATATACTATGTGATTTTTTTTTTTTGGGTCCGGTCGTGGGGCCTGAACTCTGGGCCTGGGTGCTGTCTGTCCCTCAGTTGTCAGCTCAAGGCTAGCACTCTACCACTTGAGCCACAGCGCCACTTCCGGCTTTTTTCTTTTTGCTTATGTGGTGCTGAGGAATCGAACCCAGGGCCTCATGCATGCAAGGCAGGCACTCTACCACTGAGCCACCTTCCCAGCCCCCTATGTGATTTTTTTTGGTCGGTCATGGAGCTTGAACTCTGGGCTTAGGCCCTGTCCCTCAGTTCTTCAGCTCAAGGTGAGCGCTCTACCACTTGAGCTACAGCGCCACTTCCTTTTTGTTTCCTTTCTATGTTCTTCCCCCATGATATAACCCGTTTTCCCTGTATTTGATTCTGGTGCTTGTTTCTTGTATATACATTTTACATTTTTCTAATTTGGAGAAGAGAAGGGAAATAAAATGCTGAAATAAGGATACAGGTTGACCCACTGTAACAATGAGATGTACAAGACACTAAGTTGAAAATTAACTTTACAACTTTGGTATGGCGAGGGGGGAGGGGAGTTGAGAATGTGGAGGACGGGATGGTAGGGGAAAAAAACAAAGGAGGGTGTAACAAAGCTCGATAGGAAATGTCCTCACTACCTTACTCATGTAACTGTCACCCCTCTGTACAGTATCTTTACAATAAAAAATACATATTAAATTTAAAAAAATAAAAATAAATGAAATACTGATACTTGCCACACCATGGATGAAGCTTGAGAGAACATGATGCTGAATAAAAGAAGTTAAACATGAAGTCACATAGTTGATGACTCTATTTATAGGAAATATCCAGAACAGATAAATCCACAGAAAACAAGATAGTGGTTGTCAAGAGTATGGGGGTTGGGGGGAGAAGAATGGGAAGCTCAGTGAGGTAGAGGGTTTCCTTTGGAGTGATGAAAATGTGTTGGAATGAGGTGATAATTACACAATACTGGCCTTACTAAATACCACCAAGCATAAGCAAGAAGTTGAAAAAGTAGCGTAATCGTGGTCTCAAGATACACTTTGCCCTTCATACCAGCTACTACAAACATTTAGCCTCTACTTGGTTTCCTGAATCTCCTGTGATAAGGCCATTCCTCTCTACCAGCTTCCCAGGTATCTCAGTACCTTCAGGCCTCCTGTTCTGGAGGAGATCCTGCTTTTTCTCCAATTGCCAGGCCGTGGGGCAAGCTCAAAGCAAAGTACACTCTGCTTTCCCTGTGGGAGAACACTTCAGTCAACGCATTTCCATTGAGGTATTGCAGCCAGGAAGATGGATTTGCTGCAGTTCCTAACATCAAGAAGTGCCCAAGTTTGTCTGATCTGGGGAAGGGAAGGAGGATAACAAAATAGCGAGACAAAGGACGAAGAGTGAACTAATGCAACAGTAATGCTCGAAAGACACCATGTTGGAAATGAACTGTACAACTTGGCAGGGAGGGGAGTCAAGGGGGGAGGGAAAGAGGGAGAAAAGGAGGGAGGGGGTAACAATGTTCCACAAGAAATGTACTCATTACCACACACATGTAACTGTAACACCACTGTACATCACCTTCACAAGAAAATTAAAAAAAGAAAAAAAAAGTGCCCAATAAAATAGCAGGACAAGAATGGGACAAAATGATGTGGAGAAAGGGAGAAAGTACAAACCTTATGAATGGGTAAGGCAAAGTGGCCAGGGTTATGGGGCTCTGAGTAATGGAACCTAAGGTGGAGGGGTGGGAGACAGAAGAGCTGCAGAGCAGAGAAAGGCACTGCCCACAGGAAAGCAGGTCTTCTCCAAAAGGACTACATGGGGATTGGGCCTCAGGCACACAGTAAGCATCAGGTAACAGGCAGCATGGGAGGGCTGGGGGGCTGGGCAGTACCAGGGGAGACTTCCTGCAGGCTCCTGACCCCCATTCCATGCCACTTCACCACAGATGACCAACACAGGCAGAAATCCCCTATTTTTAAAATGCTTGGGATTCAAAAGAGTTTCAGATTTTAGATTTTTTTTCTTCAGCTTTTAAGAATTATTTGCAAAGGTACAAAGAGATGGCTTAGGAGGAGACTGAGTCTAAACCTGACTTGTGTCAAATATACCTTCTAAACATGGCCTAAAAGTCATCTTGTACAATACTTTTTGTGTGCCTGCTTTCTGACCATGACCTATCAACATGGGGTCAGGTGTGGAGTTTTACTCATGGTGTATTGTAGGCATTTCAGAGATTTCAAATTTTGGAGCACTCGAAGACTTCAGATTTTCAGAATTAGGGATGTCCAACTTGCCTATGTCTTTCTTCTCCTCAGACTGGGATCAGATAGGTTCTGCATGACTACCAAGCCGAAGCTCCAGGGAATAGCTGCCAGTTCTGCACACACATTGGGAGCACGGGGGAAGGCAGACCGTGACTTTAAAATGAATGCACATGACACACACTGCTCTCATTTTCTACCATTGTCTTAAGGTTTTCTGGGGTCCCCACTGCACCCTTCCAACACCACGCACCTTCCACCACACAGCAGCTTGACCATACCCACACGTGGCTTGGCCTCTCTTCAATCCCCAACCTCACTATCTAACACACTGTCCTACATGGGGTAGCTGCCTAACACTGTGTTCCCTCAACTATATTCTAGTTTGCTGAAAGGTGGAGATTACACATTGAACCCACACAGGGCACAGCACGGCACATAAATACTTGAGAAGTTACACTTTAACAAATGAGATCAGGAAATAGGGTACACAACTGGGAATGTTTTATCCAACCCTATGTAATGTGTCTATGTCGTTTCATCTGGAAGCAATTTATGATGTCTGTGACTTTTTTCACGTATATTCAGGTTGCTGGGGATGGAAGCCAGAACTTCGGATATGTGTGCTACCACTGGGCTATACGTCTCAGCCCTCCAGTCTGAAACTTGCAGCCTACCCATTCTCAGGAGGTAAGTTAATCATGATATAAATTAAGATCCAAACTCTACTTAAATAATACTCCCAGGTGAGGGTCTATTTCCCAAAGCCAAATAAAACATCTGAGTGGTTTCATGAAGACACTGGAACAGATATGTTTCCACCACTTATATACCCTGCAGGAAGGTTCAGCATGGCAGTTCTCACTACATTTCCAGACCTTGGCCTACACTCATTCCCGATTTATGCCATCTCTGAAAACACCTTGCTAGCAGCATAGATATTTAAGCAGCATGTGTGAGCCGCATGCATGTTAGTAAACAAAATCTACTACATAGTAATAAATGGACCAAAAAACAAATATGGAAGTGTAAAGGTATAAAAGTTGCTTATTCTATAAGCAAATATAAAAGTATAAAAGTAGCTCACTCTGTAAGTTAACCCATAAGCTACCCCATATGATGGGCTAGTTGGAAATTAAGTTAGGGAGAGGAGAGCAGAGGGCTTAATGAGTAAAAGAAGACAGTCATTCGTAAGAAATGAGTATCTGCCAACGCAGTTGCGCAGGGACCTAGTTCTTGAATGAGAGGGAAGGGGAAAAAAATGAATCCATCACAGACAATTAGATACTAACTAGCTGGCATTAATTACCTGTTAATACTGTCGTTTGCTAGCTGGATGCCATAGTCTATTTGCAGCACTGTTTTGTAATCCACGTATGCTTTCCCATACTGCTCTAAAGTTTCATAGGCCATTGCTCGTCGCAGGAGAGGTTTCATGGAAAATGGATGGAGCTCCAGAGCCCTACACAAAAAACAATAGTATTGCATATGATTCATCTTGGAAACCATTTTCTTTTCATTCTCAGCTGATTATATATACTGCATCACCAGATTCTCAATCGAGTATCTACATATTGGAGATTTCATCCCAGAGACCTGGCAACACAGCAAACAGGAGAGTTAACCAAGTAACAGTGCAAAAAAAAAAAAAAACAGATCAAGCAATCAAGTTCATATTAGTTCCATTGAACCCAGTATCAAAGCAAGTTTCCAACTGGTTCATATTATTGTAAGATTAAAAGGAACATTTTTACTTGCATCCGTGTATTTAAGACGGCATCTCAGTACAGAACCACAGAACTGTAAGTAACATTTTGAAAATCACTTCTCTAGAAAGGTGTTAAAAGTACTATATGCATAAATTGTGTTTTAATGTTTCATATCAGCATTTTAAATTTGGTTCATGTCCTCAATTCTGGCAAAAACTTAACCACTGTTAACTAAAGTAAAACCTTGTTGTATATGATACAGCATCATTTTTGCCTTCTCTCCTTTTCCACCCTTTCTCCTTTATTTTTTCCTATCAGGGCCAACTTCGTACATTTTGTAACATGGAAATAAACATAACTCATATTTTTTCAAAAAAAAGTCTCATGATAGAACAGAAGGAGATTAGGAACTAAACATATGCTGATTTCTTAGAAGTCATGAAATTTTGTGCGTTTGTATCTCTGGAGTGCTTTCCGTATCACTGAAGATACATACAGCTTGAGGTTATATTCTGGTTTTGTTTGTTTTGGTGGTTCTAAATTTTAAACTCAGGACTTCACGCTTGCCATAAAGCACTCTACTATTTAAGCCAATGGGCCCAGACCTTGATTTTTTCTTTTTCTTCCTTTAGTTATTTTTCAGGTAGAATCTCCTTTTGCCCAAGGCTAGCCCCAGATCTAGATCCTTTCTACCTATGCAACCCATGTAGTTGGGATTATTACAGAGGCAAGCAGCACACACACACACACACACACACACACACATGCACACACATGTGCGCACACACAAAGGTTTGCTGAGATGGGATCTAGAGAAACCTTTTGCCAGAGCTGGCCTCAAATCGCAATCCTTTCAATCTCCACCTTCTATGTAGCTGGAATGACAGGAATGCACTATCACATTCAGCCTTGAAGTAACTGTTTAGAGCTACTTTAATACTATCTGAAACAAACATACAACCAAAAGACTATTTATAGGGCTCATGCCTGTAATCTAAACTAGTGAGGAAAACCTCTTAGACTCATCTCCAATTAACCACCAAAAAGCAGGACATTGAGCTATGGCCCAAGAGGTAGAACACTAGCCTTGAGCAAAAAGAAAGTTTAAGGACAGTACCTAGGCCCTGAGTTCAAGCCCCTGGACGAGTAACAAAAAATAGACTTTATGTGTGAAAACTAATAAGCTTTTTGTTGAACAAAATGATGTGAAGAAGTAGAGAGGTCCTTCATGAAGAAACCCGTAAGAGTCCATGGCCTCTATGCCCACACCACACTGTCCATGTCAGAGATTGCAAGTTTGCCTTTTACTAACCTGTATAATATTAGCTGTTTATATGTGCTGTTACTTTCCAGGCAGCACAGTCTCTTGCCACTCAGGTATTAATAGGTTTATCGTGCAGGTGAGGTTACTCAGGTTACTGTATCATGCAACCTGTCAGGTCTTTTGAACAGAAGCTTCCTGTAGGCCAAGTTCATTGCCTGTCCTGAGCATCATTACTTAGCCAGGTTCCCAGCCCTACATTAACACCTTGCCATGTGAGACTCAGGAAACACCTCTGAGGGAGCCCTCAGATCTACATTCTTCCTACCTCCTACTACTCACAAGCACACAAGCACACATGCCGCCCATGAAGAAACTGAGTCACCTGCCACCCTTCCCATATCTCCACATCACCTTCAGCTGAGATCTGGACTCTGTGCCTCAGAAATGACTCCAGGGTTGCCACTAAACTGAAGTGGCTTCATTGCTTCGGAAAACAACCAGTTTCGCTGTGCCCAAGTTGTAAGCATTGTGAGTTATCTCAACAATCCCCATTTGTGTTATGCTGGCTTTTTACATTTTGTTTTCTCTCCTGGGCATGTGTTACTTTGGTAATTAACGTTCTTATGAAAATGAAATTAAAAATCAACTAAGTCTAAGCACTAGACACTGGACGCCTGGACATCTGGATGAACTGTCACATCACAGGCTTAAAGCCAGCGTGGGTTACTGCAGAGGACAGTGTAACTACACAAATACCTCCAGATCATGCACACTTCCAATACTCAAGGTGCCCTTTATCCAACCACAATGGCCCCAACTACATTGGGCTCTAAACTTCATGAAGTGGAATGCTTAATTTTTTGGCACTTCTTAGCACAGTAAATCCAACAGTTATTGGATCTTTTTTCCCTTAATCTTGAAAATGAATATGAGATTTTGAATTTAAATTCTATTGAAGAAAAAAATACACCCAATCATAAAAACAAACACAGATAACTTTTCAACCAGAACTTACTCAAGACCTAACAAGTCTCCCAATTTCATGGCTTCTCTAGCATTAAAATAACTTTTGAGAATTCCAACTTTGGATAATATCACCACCCTTTGGGCTCCCTGCCCATCCTGCTGGGCCTCATTTGCCCGCTATCAAGGAGACATTTAAGTAGGTCGGCCTGTATGCAAGTCAACACTGACCAGCACAGCAAGATTCCTTGGCCCAGCACACAGCTGTTACCTAAGGATAGCTATCTAAACTGATGCCCAGCCTCCCTCTCTCACCTCTCTCCTGTCCTCTCGCCCAGAACCAACCCTACATCTAGCTTCCCTGGATATCAGCCTGCAGTCTCATCTTTTATTTCATCCCAATTGACACTGAAACACAATTTTAGCCAGAATATGATAGCTCCTTAAGCAATTTCACTTAACGTCAAAGTAAGGCTACTTCAGTCCTAACTTTAAAGGTCTCAAGTGTTAAGATTGAAGTCAGAGTCTTGCTCTGTGGCCCAGGCTGGCCTGGAACTCAAAATTCTCCTGTCACAACCTTCTCTGTGCTAGAATTATAGCTGTGCAGCACCATGCTCGGCTAGAGGTCTCAAGTTTATGCAATTTTGTGTGTGTGTGCATGTGCACACGCTGCTCCTGGGCTTGAACTCAGGGCCTGGGCATAGTAATGAGATTCTTTTTCTCAAGGCTAGTACTCTACCATTTGAGCCATAGCATTACTTCCAACTTTTTCTGAGTGGCTTATTGGAGATACAAGCCTCAAGGACTTTCCTACTCAGGTTAGCTTTGAACTCTGATCCTTAGATCTCAGCCTCCTGTGTAGCTAGTATTACAGACATGAGCCACCAGTGCATGGCAGAGGTCTCAAGTTTTAAGTAAGGAATCCTGACTTCACTCACTACAGGTCCTGAAATTAGTCTATGGATAATGTATTAGAAATGGATACTTGAGCTTTAAGACTATTGGCTACCATCTTAATGTGCCTGATATCTAACAAGTCTTGTCAGTTAGTTATAGGTAGTGGTAGAGGTTTAACAAGCTTTCAGATAAAAGGGAAAAGGAAAAGCGCCCAGATTTGTGGCAGGTGCCAGTTTTCTTGGGATCAGTACTTGTGCCACGGCAGATTTCAAACTACCAACTTGACACCATCCAGTTCATAAAGTCCAGAAAACAGAACAAATCGCTAACACGCGCCAGCATCACTGTAGATGTGGTCAAGTCAAAATATAAACATAATTTGTGTTAAATATGTATATGTAAAATTAGCCAAAAAAAAAACCAAGTTCCTCAAGCTTTCATTTATACTGTAGGCACAGATCTATACAGAATTTACCCACACCAAGTAAACTGGTAATGCCAATGACAGAAATATGTTGTTAATGTAAGGTAATAAATAAATAGTTCCTCTTAGAAACAGAGTATCCACATAATTCACTGTCTGGTTTAGGGCTTCTGCAGTGTACTGGGGTGATCTTTAGGTAATTACATTAAAAAAACAAAACAAAAAAAACAGGAGAAAACTATGGCTGTATTAGTCACACCAGGACACAACTTCTTATTTTTTCAGAAGAACTAATAGTCACTTCTTGTCAAAGGGATCCTGTGGCAGGCTCATCACTTAATGACTAAAGAAAACAGTATGTTCTATTCATGCACCACTCACTCACCCTGTCGGGTAACTTACTGAGCACCAACAACAGTCCTGCCCTGTGAGGAGTTGAAATCCACTGCAGTGAATGGTATGAGGACCTCTAGGTGTGACCCAGTGTCATCACAGCCCTGCGGATGGCCGGGAGCCTGAGGAGAGCAGGCAGGCAGGGATTGCTAAAGGCATTCCAGGCTTTGAGTTCAGGGTGAGCAAAGGCCTGGAGAGCAGGGAGGGGAAGGGAAGGAAGTGGTCCAGAAAACTCGTTTGGGGAGCCAGCTGGTGCCAGCATCCTTTACAGTGATCTCGAAGACTATACTGAGCCATTAGGTACCCTCTGGAAAGGATCCGAGGAAACCAAGTTTCCAAGATAAGCCATTCCGGACTTACAACCGGATTAGCTTCTCTAGAAGCTCAGAATGGTAAGACGGAGCACGAATCAGGGAGGGGCAGTGCCTGCACTCTGGGGAGTGAAGCTGACAGATTTTTAATTTTATCAATCAACTAACACACCTCTCCAAACTGTCTTTAAGAAGTTAGGCCCCCTAGGCAGGAAATTCAGATTATCATCCGCGCCTGCCTTAGTCACTCGGAAATTGTAAGGATTCTCTGACAAAGCCAAAAGCCTGCAGCTTACCTGTTACAGTCTTGAATGCAATCGCCGCAGTTTCCTTCCTTTAGGTAACAGGCTGCTCTATTTGAATACAAGATACTTAGGGCATCTGCACACTCACTTCCTAAAATCACAATTTAATACAGTTAAAGCCAGTAGCCAAATGACAGAAATCACCCGCGGACTGCGACAGCGGTCCGGGTGGCACTGCAGTCCCGCAGCCTTGCTGGGCACTGCGGAGCCCCGCGGGTGCGCGGGGGCCTGCCTGGGTCCCACCGATACTCGCCGGGGCCCTGGTCCCCGGCTGGGCCGCCCCCCCCGCCCCCCGCCCCGCGAGCAAGCGGCGTTCCCGGGTACTGCCACCGGGCTCGGGTCACCAGGTGACCGGGAAGGCCGCGGGGTGCGCAGGGCGCTTGGGGCTCACCCACCTGCGGGCTCCAGCTGCTCGATGGCCGCCGCGTACCTGCGGGCCGCCTCGGCGAACTGCCCGTTCTTGAACAGCTCGTTGCCCTGGTTCTTCAGGCCGGCGGGGTCC